GCCGTTCGAGCGTGAGAACAAGAAACCTGTGTCAAGAACACGGCGCCCGAACTCGACCAATGTGTACATGTCTTAAATTAACTTTTGATCACATGTAGTGTATTCTCTATATTGTACCTCTCTTTTCTCATATAACAATACAACTTCTTACTCCTTGAATAATGGTTAATATGAAACGATGAGGATGTAAGGCCGGATGGCAGCAAAAGGACAAAAAGGACATAAATACAAACCTTAAAGGTGACCTTTTCATATTACATTTACATATCATAACAAATCTAATAAAAGTATAAACACAACAGCAGCCTAGACCAATAACATTTGGCAGTGGAATGGTAATGGGACGGAACAGAATGATAAGTGTAAGTAACAGGACGGATAAATCATTTGGTAGGGTTGAAATTGTTGAAAGCGTAAAAATCAATAAACAAGATGGATACGTCTGGCTTTACAGTGTGTTCGATCGGCAAGTTGTCATAAAGTTGAAACTACCGTGGAGTAGGGTCTGCGCTTTGCCAGAATGTAGGGCTCTGCGTAGAACCGCAGCACTGCTTACTGAAGCATGGGCGACAGCCAATCATAAATCTTGGTGCCCTTGAGGCAGTCGCCGTAGCTGGGATCGAACAGCTGCTCCAGGCTGTGAATACGGGGCAGCTCAACCTCAAAAGGAATCTGTAGAGAAGAAATTGAAGAAAAATCAGTTCTGTGCAAACTCTTGAGGAATAAACTTTGCTTGAAGTGAGTCAAGAGTGGTGTATGTGAATACAAACAGACTTGATGAAATATACGCGGAAACATTCAAACGGGACTGTTCAAAACCAGCTGGCTTAACCCAACAGTACGTTTACCAAATTTTAGACTTTTGCAGAGACTTGACATAGATTTGACTGCCTATTTAAGTTGAGCGTTCCTTATTTGCTTTCACTGCTCTGAGGCGCTTGGAATTCATTCCTCAGCGTATGAACAAGAGTACTGATGTGAAGTGTGTGCAAGCAATGCGATTTCTCCTGCAGAGGGGGGAGGGGTCATTTGCTTCCATCAGAGGGCATGGATGGACTCCGATGGACCCCCCTTCCCCCCAAAAATATTTATGGCGATCTTACGACTTGCTGGTCCTGCTGGTCTTGTTCTGGTGCTTTGTACTTCAGAAGTTCTTGTATGGTGTCCACACACTGCCTCAGCAAAGCCTGGGATTAAGAGTTAACGTGACTAAATGTGAAATTGAACAAAACGCAGTTGTTGAACGTGCGATTGTGTGTGGTTTTTTTCCTGATGATGTTGCAAGTTGATAGAGTTTGGTGAGCCTTACCTCTAGATTCTCATCTCGTTTGACCTTGGCTGACAGCTGCGTGATGCGAGCCGTTCTCTTGGACTTGCGGTTGGTGGGTTTCCCGGGAGTGCTGGTCCCGTCCTTGGAAGGTGCACCGGCGGCTGGGGTGCTCGGTGGCTTGGGCTTCTCGGCTGCAGCTAGGGAAATCTCGGCCTTCTGTCTCAAGACAGCCAGTCGATCGTGGAGGTCCGTGACCTGGGGCAGGGCTAGGGTCATGCAGCCGACGGTGGGCATGGGCGTCTCAGCGGTGGCTTTGGAGGGGGATGGTTTCGGGGGCGTGGCATTTCCGATGGCATAGAGGAGGAGAACCTGTCGGTTTGGGGTGCCATTAAGGTGGAGGGTGGAGGGCTGGTACCACTGGAGACAAAGCTCATTCTCCCTGGAGGGTAAGGTTTTATCCAATTCCTTTTTGGCCTCTTTCTTGTTTGAATCCTCCCCTGTTTTGCTGACCCAGCAGAAGACATTCTCGGGATATCCCTTGGCAGGAATGGCCAGCTCTGTTGGGGGACCACTGAATGGCAACACCAGGCCACTGGGGGGCTTACCTGCCTGGCAGCTGTCGGTGAACACGGGCAGGTGGCTGCGTAGGAACCCCAGCATGCTTCGCAGGCGCAGCAGGCCGTCGGCGCACAGCAGTGGCAGGCGCACCGCGTCGTGATTGATGCCCGTGTCCAAGCCACTGTGGTTGACAAAGCCCAGGTCAAAGCCAGCACCCAGGCTGCCGCTCTCTGCTGCTGCTGCCCCTTCGGGCCTGCCGGTGTCCGCCCCCGGCCCCATGGTGTCCAGGTTGCAGGTGCGCTGCAGGATGGCCGTGTAGCTCAGCAGGTGCACCCAGCTCAGGGCGACGGACTTCTGGGTGAAGGCTTGACCTGCAGGCTCGATAGGAGACAGTGAGGCTACAGAGAAGCCATCCTCATCTTCCATGTCTGCTTTGACTTCATCCAAGGTCTCCAGCCTGGGCTTATTAGCTGCTGGAGGGGAGACGCCACGCTCAACTGCGTACAAATTCAAACACCACTTTTCATTATAGTACTTCGAACACTGCTTTTTAAATTCAGAGATCAACAGTTTGAAATTGTGGTGAACGTTGAAAAATTATAAAAAGTCAGAAAAAAAACCTGTCCACATAACAAATGCACGTATGAATTATTTTTAACTTTTAATTCAGTGGTTAATTAATTTTTAATTGATTTGAAAACAAAAATAACAGTAATACTGTGCAGAACTGAGCAAACATCAAACTGAAAATAGTAATGAAACTCATTATTTGAGGACACCTTGCATTTACCTCAAATAGCTTTACCACTTGCTGCCGGGTGCTTTTAAAAATGCAATGCACACATACAGGAGATTTTTCAAGATTTTCAGTTTTCAAAATTCTTCAAAACTTCATCATTTCGTTTAATGGACATTTACGCCCACACGAATGACTCTTTGGTGGCTACTCTAAGCTGAAAGGCAACCTTCATTGACTCCTGAGTATTTCAGCCAGGCCTGCCACCCTGTAAAGAGAGCCCAGAATTGTGAGGTGTTGCGTAATTTCCTTTGTCCTGAGTGAATGCTAGTGGCGTCTTTTCAAACGCAACTGAATTAAAATGCAGCGGTGCTGTGTCGCTCATCAATGAGGCCCTGGAGCACTTTTGTCCGCGGAGCTAATCCGCAGGTGCGCTACGCCCAAAACACTGGTATACTGTTTAAAAACAGTGACAGATTACCTTCTAAAAAATGCAAGCCGAAAAATGATGGCTATTCCCAGCAGCAGGTCTTTTGTCACATGGACTAGCTCTTTTGTCCCATTTCGGGCACCCCGGCTCTGCATATAAACCCATGGTGCTCAAAACGGGGTTCCCCGACAGCAAGTGGTTAACAGTAAGTTTAAGCAGATAATTCATAGTAATACTACCATTTAAGCTTGATAAAATTTCAACACTCCAAAAAAATCGATTTGTTTTGGGACTATTTAAATTTGTGTAAGACCTGGACTTAAGGGAGAGCTAAACTTTTTTGTTGATGTGGGGGGGGACCCTTACATACCTTTAGGAGTACTTGTCAGGTCCTGCATGACGAAATCTGGGATCAACTCCTTGACCTTGTCCTTCAGGGTCAGTGAGGTCAGCGACGGGTCACCCACCAGGAGGGCCAGTGACCGCTGGGCCGCGGCCACCGTGGTGGCAGCCCGCACGGCCAGCCAGGCGGCGGTCAGCTCCCTGCCGCGCTCAGCCGATGCATCCTTCAGGGCCAGGTCTCGCCTGGACGGTGTGGCCTTGGCAGTGGTCGTGGTGGAGGTGCGGGAGGGTTTCTTGGAGGCCGAGGAGCTTGGGCTCTGGGGAAGGATGAAGGAAAAGAGTTTCACCTTTCAGAAAAAATTGATAAAGTCAGAAATCTCTAGACAAAATGTCCAAAGTATTACAATCTCTGCACGTGTTGAATATTCATCAATCTATGTGTTGCGGGTATTAAACAACATAAGTTTCCTTTCAAAAGACCAATACATAAAAATCGGATTGAATAAGATTTGACTCAATTACAAGAAACTTCAAGACAATGTCGCTGCACTACGGGAGCTTCACCGAAATTTCAGAAGGCTACATGAAACAGGTTACATGAAGTGCAACTGTGTCAAGCAATGCAGAAGTTCCATCACTGATGGTTGGATTTGGAGCCCTACCCTGGATTTTTTCTTCTTCTCTGGCAATGCTTGGACAGCGAGGGTTCTACCCTCCTCTCTCTCCGCTTGCTGCAGGTCGTTGATGATCTTGAGTCTCTGGCCGGCACTGTCTAGGTAAAGCAGGGCTATCTCCAGGTAGGCCTGGCGGATCAGACTGTGTGGGTGGAAGAGGTGGAAGAAGCCATGACAGGTGACATGAAGGGCCAGAATATCTTTGGGGACTGTCTATCACAAGATTGGGCAATTTTCAGATTATTAAAAAAGTAATTTAACAAGTGAAATTGTGTATTTTGTAATTCAGAGTGAGACGAGATCTGGGCCAGAGGGACATAGAAAACGATACAGATGTTACAGAATTTAAAAAAAAAATATTGTTGACAAAGTGCTAGACCAAACACACAAGTTGTCCAAGCATGTACTTCAAGGGTGACGCTGGTCACCTCTAAGTGCCCCAAAATGTTAAATGGCCTTGTTGCTCATTTCGTGAAGATGCCAATGCTTCACGTCAAGTACATGAAAGCATTAACTGCTCCTGGGTAGATGTAGATGGCATTGTTCTGGTTTGATTTGTCAAACTGGGAAATCAACTCTTCGCTGGCCAACTCGGAGGACAATCACCTACCCTAAATCGTGGGTGGCAGCCATGCTGGTCGTGACAGCCTGGAGGAGTGTCCCTGCCGCCGCCCTGGGCTGGTAGCAGGCTCCACTGCTGCTGTTTCTGCTGCAGCGGGCCAGCTGCCGCTGCACTTTCCCCAGCTGCAGCAGCAGCTCGGCCAGCAGGCTGCCTTCCTGCCGGGCGCAGACCCGGCCGAGCTCCAGGCCCGTGGAGAGGACGCCGGCTGCTTGGAGCCAGGGGTCTGGGGTCAGGTCGCCAAGAACCCTAAGAAAAACAAATTTTAGGGCGAGATTTCAAACTTGAAAGGCTTTTACTATTTCAGACACAAACTTCCAACTGTTTTAACTTTTCACTGATGACAAATATCAGGACAACACCAGCAAAAAAAAAGAAATAGGAAGGAATAACCTGTAACCACTGAAAAGGAAACAAGGACAAGACGCAGTCCACAGCCAAAATAAAGGCCGTATCTCCAATACTACTGTTTTTGATGAATTTTCTGGAATACAAATTGAACTATGATGGGTAAAGGAAATTAATTGCTGGACACGACATGCATCAGGAACAATGTTCATTTTTCTGTAACTCTTTAAATCTCAACATCCTAGAAAAAAATCCACATGTATACAAATTTGATACTTTCACAGAAGAGAGTTTGTGCATATTTTACTGGACGTTCCCCGACTGGGTTGGAAAGGCAACAAAGCCTCTGGCCAGCTGGACAGGATACAATTCCTTTGACTCACTTTGCACTGGTCTTGGCTTGTTCCCTGGTGGCCTGGCGGGCCAGGGCGTGGCCTATCCTCAATTTGGTCTTGGCCAGGTAGAGCAGGTGGGGTAGGTAGATGTTCTGGAGGGGGCTGGCGGGTGTTGACAGGTAGGAGATGGAGGTGTGTCGCTCAATCTTCTCACCGAGTAGCATCATCTGGTCGGAGAAAATCAGGAAACATCTCAATACAAGTTATGCTCAATCCAAGAAACTCTCGAAGATGTTTCTCCATTTTTAAGACCACTTTTCATGTCTGTAGCTTGCTCGCTTAGTAAGACAGCTGCCTTCGTAAGCAGATACTTGTAGGTTCAACCTGTCTACACGTTAAACATTATATAAAAGTGTCTTTCTTGTGAGCTCTCCAGTTCAAAAATATGCCTTTGTCACTGTCCACCTGTTGCTTGTGACTGGTCTTGTGAATGGGCTTGAGATGATCTTGACAATAACACTGGTTACTGACAAGGGCCGGCATTTCACATCAGTAATGTCACAAGCATCGAGTCTGTGAAAAAAGCCAGATAATGCTGTAAAATACTACCTGACTGTGCAGAGTCTGCTGGGCCTCAGCGTAGGCAGCCAGGGTGCTCTCTGTGATGGGCGCCCCCTTCTCCTTGTGGTAGGCATGGGCGGCCAGGGCCTGGAGGTCGGTCAGCTGGATCTTCGCGAGAGCCAGCAGGAGGTGGCCAGGGGAGGACAGGGTCTGTTGCTGCTCCAGGAGGCTCACGACCTCCTGGGGATTGTCATAAATGGATAGGAGGGCAGTCAGAAAAGAGCTGGGAGGCCCTACAGACAAATTTCAGTATCCTAGACACTTGTAAAGTGACCCAAATATAAATGCCGAATTTGTATTGATAGAGTGCCCTCTGTAAATTGCGCCTCAAGGTAAGGAGTACGAATTTCAGAATTCCGATTATGAACAATACATCTCTTCTTGTCATAAATTTTAAGATTAAGTGGAGACTTACAGGCACTGCCACTGACTGTGTTGGATTTATTTGCTATACATCACAGCGACTCTCCTTCAAGCCAAGTCAATATTGTAATACACCGACGCAGTATCACAACTCAGCAAGCTGCTACCTTAAACACAAGAAACTCTGGTCTGTCTTCAGATCATCTCCAGCAGGCTTTAGACTTTGAGTCTTGCCACATCAGACCACTCGACCACATGTGCGCATGCTCCCGTTAAACGTCAAAAAGGCTTCTGAACTTTCAGATTCTCTGCCCACACGGTGGAGGGAGGAAATTTGAGCTCAACGGTGACCTACCTGCAGCGTCTGCTTGATGTCGTCCAGCGACCGCCCCTCCTGCAGGTCCAGCAACGCCCCTTGCATCAGGAACTCCGCCTGCATCTCGTTATCCCCGCAGGCCTCGGCCTCCGTCAGGCCTTGCATGCAGAAATGGCGGCAGTCCAGGTCCTCTGATGGCCCACCGGAACCTGAAGAAAGAACAAACAAATTGTTGTAAGGCTTAGGAGCTACGTTTGCCGGGCCCTATCACTTATTGATGAACTGTTCAGGTTTAGAAGTGGGAGGAAAACCGTCGATAAGTATTCTGTGGAAAACCCACAGAATCAGGTGGGGGCTGAACACATTTTGGCCTGGATCAAACCCCAGTTGCAGAGCTGAAACGTGAGGAAAGTACAATATTATGCCAACTTGACTGAAAACAAATGCAAAACAGAAGTGTCGATGTGATTTGATGCCACGTGACAGTAAATCTCTTCGGTGAGTTTGTGTCCCAAGTACCTGCCCATGGCTGAAAACAGAGCACGCATCTATGGGAAATGCAGAAAGCTACTGAAGCTTCCACTAAAGTGTGTATGTTAATGCCAGCCCAAGCCAAGTGACTCAGATACAGCTGGACTTCCACAGAAGAACCCAGGAAAACTTCCCATTTCAAATAGCCTGCTTTTTCCATCACTTAGTTTCCACCCATCCGTCTTCCATCCACCCCCAAAAACCTCATACCCAATGCACATAGCTAAAATGCTACCTCAAACTCTCCAACAGCCTCTCGAATATGGATCCCTCGAGATCTACTTACTTCCGAGGAGACCCATTCCCCTGACCCGGCCCATCAGGCACTTAACCAGGGCCAGCCGGCAGTCCAACCACAGCCGGCCGTCCAGCCGGGACCGGCTCTGGAAGTTTTGGTATTGGTACTGGCTGGAGCTGTCCACCTCCAGGGGGGTAGGGGGCTCGGGCTGGGAGGCCATCTGGAACTTCAGCTTGCTACCCTTGAAGGACGACAGCCTAAATTATCGGGACAGGAGAGTAGGCTGGTTGTCAAAACTTAACTCATACTCCCTTTGCTCTTTAGCTGGGACGAGAACTGAATAAACTGAGGGCTAAACTAATTTGGTAAGTCAACGCCAAGTTAAATTATATATGACAGTGGCTGTGCACTCTGAATCCACTGAAACACTGCAAAACTTGGCAATTAGATTCTGATGGTCTTACGGTAGATAGCCAGTTAATGTTGGATTTGCATACCCGAAGAAGCTGCTGGAGCCAGGTTTTTTTCCCCTTAAATTCTTCAATCTTGCAATTGCGCTTTGACCCAACCAAGCACGAAGCGTTAATACGTCAACCGAGGAAATGAAAAAAGAATTCTTATACAAGTGTCCACGTCCTCCGTGGAACAAATAAGGAAAGTATGTGTGTTCACACATCATCTGGTGTAAAGTGGTTAAGATGAATGTGAGAGAAGTGTTTTGCTCTTTCTGAAGAACACACAATTCTATCCGTAATTGACTAGCACCAAATTTTTGAGTCACAAGTAGTGAGAAACGGCCTGTAAACACACACTCCCAGAATGAACAACATCATTCCAGCCTCTCTGTTCTATCAAGTCTTACCAAACACAAATTAACAGCAGAAAACTTTTCCTGGCTTTAAAAACCACTAAAAGTATTACAATGTCTAACAAGCTACCTACAGTAATAAACGGTTTATATCTTCACAATATCTTCTGATTTCTAGAGCTGTTATGCAGAACTTTATGTTTTGAAAATTTCTGTATTTAGTAAGAAATCAGCTCAAAACCAGTCGCAAACCATCACATGGCATTTTGCCCGGGAACCAGTTTTCACAAAGCAGATATCCTCTTATGATGAGCAAATTTCTCCTGCTTAGCAGCTCTCTGACACCAGGCGTTGTGTCCACTGACCTGCGAGGTGCCTTGAGCTTCTTGCTCTCTTCAAACAAGCTGCTGCCTTGCAGGGCCGTCATGGCTGAGATGACCACCTGGGCACCAGTAACCGCCAGGTGCAACTCCCTGTGGATGGAGGCCAGCTCCAGCTTGGCCAGGACGATGAGCTCCAGCTCGGCTGCTGACTGACCACAAGTCCCTGACAGGCAGTGAATAATCATCATCTATTTCGTAAACATCTACACTTCCCATTTCTAGGGAGGAAGGCTTTCTGTCACTCGGAGACAAATGCCTTCATTTACAAGCTCACACTGCCATGCAGCTGGGTTGTATGCCGTTAGTCCAAGACAGGAGGTTTGTTCACGACAGTTCTTTGGTGAGAGTCATAAAAACTCAGACTCGAATTTGGGATTCTGTGACTCAAATGGGACTCATGACTCCTGAATTACACCTGCTCTCAAATACCCAAAAGCATTAAACTGACACCGAATTGAGGTCTTTCACAGTAATCCGTAAAGTTTTCGATATTCTTCATAAAGCAAAACTTTGTCACTAAAATACAATTAACCACCGTCATTAACTGACCAGGTAACGATACATGGCTTATAGACCTCTTACCTTGGCCCTGCATGATCTCTACCATAATCTTCAAAGTCTGTTCAGCTGTCCTCAAAAGCCCTCCCTATAAATATAGCAATGGAAGAAAAAGATGGCACTCATTTTTTGGCCTTACAACATTCTCTTTGAACACAATGATTACTTAACATATTCTGCCAACAAACCTACAAGATGTCATCAGTCTTTAAAACTGTTGTCAAAATGACAAGTAATAATGGGTCCAAAAAAATGCAAAGGGAAGTTTCTGAAAAGCCATTCAGGTGGTTTGCAGAGAAAACAAACGGGTTCGATTTATCTACCCATCACTGCCTGAGAGATGTAACCGACCTACCTTGACAGCCTCCAATGTTAGTGGTTTCTTGCCTCCGGTAAATTTCTTGCCTGTGTCTTCTGTTACGGTCAGACTCTCAACCGAGCCTTCCTCAGATGCTAACCACAGAATAAATAACCAAGGAAGGGTGAATCAAGAGATGGGCTGGCTTCTTTCTTGGTTGGCCTTTTGGGATAAAACTACTGAATTCTACAACGGAGAGGTGGTTAGCTGATGATTTTTCTTGGTGTCTGAGCAAACCTTTCAGTGGAATGCAGACTGTGACATCACATTAAAAGGCTTATAAGGACAGTCGCTGGATTCCACTGGAGGGGAGCCATGGTCCATAGCCCCTTGACCTTTGACCCCTCTCCTATCAGGCCCATACCTGAGCCTACTCTGATCCAAGTGGGTGACATTTGTTGGACATCCTCCGGACCCATGCCTTGCATCCTTCACGGTAATCTTGGTATGTGTCTGCTGTCTTTCGGGGCCTAAAGAAAACAAGTCTGGATATTTCCAACAATGGCATGGGTAGTTGAGTCAGGTGTTATATAGGGGTGGTTCTCAGTTCAGATACCCATGGGTATCCCGGCACGGCCCTCCTGTGGACTCGAGGCTTACCTCTATATCTTGTTTTCTGGGTCACAAGCTCCAGACAACGGGTTGTCTTCCAACGGTGGTGTGAGTGGCTAAAATGGGTATTTTATGGGGATTTTTCAGCGACCTGACAGGACTCCTGACCCATGGCTTACCCAAGGCATCCTCCACGGTGATCTTGGTGTGCGTCTTCTCCGTCTTCTTGGACACCACAGAGTTGGGCGGCTTGCTGATGGTGGTGCTGGTGGTTGGGCTGGGTTTCCTCTGGGGCGGTTCGGGGCTCGTACTGGTCCTGGACAAAAACAACACATCGTGGTGTAAATTCAATGCCAACTGGTGGTGGAATCCAGTGGCACACAGTGTGGCAGTAGGTCAAAAAAGGATCAAACACTTTCAATTTTTGATTTAAAATGTTTAAGCAGAAAAACATTCACATGGTTTCAAGATAAAGGAAATGAAACATAACTGAGACGGTTAAATTAGGCTGACAACTTCTAGTGTTCTGCTTATAAATAAGTACAAATCTTTAAAGTATTTCTCGTGCTTCTCTCAAACTTTATCAAATTCTTGGCACATGGTCAAGAATGCACCTTGCTAAGAAAGGTCATTATCCTGAAACAATGCCTGACATGATTGCAATTCATAGTCAGCGACATGTAATCTTACGTGACGATGTCTACGTCGGGCATGGCTTGTATTGTGGACGCAATGGCCACCATCAGGTGCGCCTGGGCTAGGGACAGGTGACACGTCAGGTGGGGCCCGTACAGTGTGGCCAGCGAGGGTGATAGTCTCTTCTCAATCAGCGTCTCCAGCATCTGGAAGGGAAGCCCACACGTTAAAGCCATTTTCTTTCTTGAGTTCCGTCAAAAAATTCTTCCTGAATTATATTTATGTCAAAGGACACTTAAGAGTGTTTAAATTTCCGTGTATGGTGTGACCCGTATTAAATCATGTACTTCAAATAATTTGAGAGTAACAGGGAAGCTTCAATTCAGTTACGGCAAAACAGTTTCTACTGTACTCACCTTTAGATTGGTGGGTTCCATCAGTGGCTTGGCCGAGTTGAACTTCTGAGAAGACTTCAAAGAGAAATTGAAACCACATCAATGCACATTCTATCAACAATACCCCCTGAAAATACCCTAGCACTGAGTTAGGGATGACTTCCCTCGAGAAATAAAAACAAGAAACCCAGTGAGAACAGTTTTATTAGAACAGCACTGGGGGAGTACTTACCATCTTGGACTCCACTTGACGGAAGTTGTTGTCGGCCGTCTGTGGTAGGCGTTCACCATGCAGCAGACGACCAAGGACGGTGAAGGCTTCACTGTACAGACTCAGGTCAGTCAGAATGCGTACCTGTGGAAATGGCCAAATACTGACCTGTCAATATCTGGTCACCCTGGAAAAATCTGACAAAATCAGTAGAGTTTCTAGTTTGCCCAGTCACAACATGCAAAATGGCAAGAATGACTTGTTACCTTGAGGATGCGGCCATCCACTGCACGCTGAAGGTCCCGGCAGACAAACGTAGTCAGGTACTGATACAGTGTAAGCAGAGGTAAAACCTGTAGACAAGACCAGCACATACATAGGTCAAGGGGAGATTAAACGTCACCGTCTGACAAATGTGATGCAGGCACATATGATTGAGTCTTGAATGGACTTGAATCTGGCAACTGAATGTAGTTTTTGAACTCTAGGGTGTTCTTTGCACTTGTGTATGCTCTTGCACATTTCACATTGATCACAGAATTGATGAGGAATTCTCGTTAAGGTGTAACACTTTGATCTCAGGGAAACCATTTGAGACTGGGTTTTGTATAAGCACACTTAGCCTAATGGCGGTCTACAGAATACAAAAGGCTAGCTGTGGGCTGCCTGTGATCAGAAGTTAAACAGATTATTAAATCTAGAAGCTTGGAGATCAGGCATATGAATGACATGTGAAATGCTGCGATCTTATAAAGACAACCACATAAATGCGACTGCAGTCAACTTCTTTATGAAAGGGTCTTGTGGGCTTTATAAATCACCTAGTTTCAATAAAAACCTTGTATTATTAGGAATTGAAAATGATAAATACAAGACGTGGAGGCTAAAGATTTCCTTCTTATAAGCAAGATGTTGTACTAATAGCGCTCAGGGTTCAACTGTACTCACTTCTGATCATGCAACACAGCCAAGTGTACCACAAATGCACATACAGACCTCAGGTAGAGCAGGTGTCATGGACCCACATTCACCAAATTACCGAGACTAAAAAAAATGGAACGGGAAGAGAATGACATCACAATGTGAGGACCCACCATGAGACTGTGCCTGCCCCTGGACAGCTCCTCGGCCACCCAGCGCAGCGAGGCCAGCAGCGTCCGGCCGTCGCAGCGGTAGCGATCCGACAGCAGGTCAACGCCGGGCACCAGGTACTGCACCTCGCAGCCCTCGCCGATCTCGTACAGGGCGTAGTCCCGGTCGGCTGTCGGGTGGGGCAGGGAGGCCCGGAACAGTGCCTTGAAGAGGAAGGCCGACAGGAAGCAGCTCTCCATGCGCAGGCCCAGGTCGGAGGTCAGGATGTACCTGGGTACGAGGCGACAGTGTCAGGGATCATAATGAAGTCAGAATTCAACAGAGTGAGCTCAAATTGGGGTCTGGGGTCAGGATATACGAGGACAGAGAGAAAGCATAAGCTAGTTCCAAACGGACCCTGTGCATTGTGTTGCTGCAATGTCATTCTGGGATTTTCATCTCACTTCTGAAAGTAATCAGCTGTTCATGGTCTTCTTTCCGTGTAGATCTCTCCAGGCTTTCTTGATGCAACACCTGTAAACCATTTAGGATTCCTTAATTCTATTACCAGAATGAATTAAATTAACTTGCACGCCAGATGCATGCCAGACCATTCCCAAAATACAGACCATGCCAAGAAACCAACCCCACGGACGGTGTACTCGTGGGGGATGCCGTTAAAACAGTGGCCCCTAACTCACAGGTATAAGGGAAATTCCAGAAATCAAGGGTCCAACAGTGCGACATTTTTGTCTCCCAATTGCATCTGACCTTTGTTATTTGACATGGAAATATCACCAGAATTGTTTTCAAACTATTACTATTTGTATGGCAGGTAATTTGCATTAATTCATCAATCTTGGAAATTAGAAAATGTGTTCGGAAGTTACAAAATCATAAGTTAGATTTTACAGGGACATGAAAAGAAATGGACCCCTAATTTCTGGAATTACCCACATACTCAACTTTAAAAGCAAGCCACAACATTCTGTTGGCCAAAGAGGCCTTCAACACGCGCGTATGACTTGTGCATGAGCCCAGCACCATCACAGTAACAGCTAATTCTGGTCTTAATCTACATGCTACGTACTGTGCTATCTTGGAGGCCAACACCGCCCCCAGCAGGCAGCCCCACATGCCACAGCGATCCAGCAGCTGGGAGCTGATCTCGTGCTGTGACCTCTGACCTGTCAGCAGCTGACGCCAGCTGTGCAGGGTGTCAGTGGTGTTCATGATGAGATCCAGGGACTCCGACCACCACTTGAAAGCAGCTCTGCAAATAACCAAACAGGAAAATTTCTTCACTTTAATTACAACTGAGATGAAAGGACGGGCCACGCCATCCTTGGAGTACGAGTGCTATACAGCATAACGATGGCAGGGAAATTATGCATTGACAGTTTCAGAGATTTCTACAAACCCTGATGCCGAAGAAAAACAGAGAATTTTACATGATGCATATATGGTGCATGCTTGTATCTTACCAAGATCAGTGCCAACACAAACAACTGCAATTAGGCACTGAATGTGTAAACAGCAGCTCAAAAGCAGTAGGCAAACGAATATGCCACCGGCTCTGATTTGACACTGCCGCTCTTGATGATGGCGAAGCATATGCCAGTGTATCGCACAGACACCGCCGGCCTACTTGGCATTCAGCCGTACCTGATATTCGCCGCATGGTAGTGGAGGTTGCCCAGTTCATGCATGGCCTGGGCTGCAAGGCCTAACTGCTTCCTGGCCAGTAACATCTCTGTGGACAGAATAGAGGTGGAGGAAATAACTGACTGACTATGAGATGAGATGAGGGGGGGAGGAGCTTAGGGGAGGGCAAATGTCCCCATTTCTTGTCTAACCTTTACTTTCTCAAACAGAATTTCATCTCGCTGAGTTTTTGAAAGAGTACCGTGAAATCGAACTGTAAAGTTTAAAGTGAGGAAAAAAAACTCCTGTTGTTTTTGGCAAATAAGAAAGACTGTGATTGCTAACAGTCCGTGCCTACCGATAGTCTTGTCATAGGAGGTCAGCACCACCCCAAGTTGTGACTTGGGCAGGGCCGATGTCTGGACCTCGGCCATGGTCTTGAATTTCGCTTGGGCCAGGTCTGGTGGGACAGTCATCTGGGGCTGGTCATCGGTCTCGGAGAAGCCCACCCGGCTGTGGATGCTGTGGTGGCTGGGTACAGGGGCAGCTGCAAGGGGGGGGTCAGATGATGAAGACAGGTGGCAGGTGTTAGATTTTGATGCCAAAATAGCCACCATTATTGGTGTCTTCTTGGACTTTATAAAGCATTTGGGATATTCTAACCCTGAAACAATCGTCTTCAAGAACTAAGAAGTTAGTTACTAAGCCAGATGCTTCGTTAGAAACATTCTGGAATTTTTTAAAACAATTTTTCATCAAGAATTTATCAAAATAAAAAACGAAAAAACAAACACAAAAAACAAAACTTTCAAATTCAAGCGCAAAAATTGCACAAGACTTTCTGCAGTGCTCTTTCACTTTTCATGGTACGCAGAGTGTACAACCAACCCTACAGAAAAGCAAGTTAACCTTAGGAAGGTCCCATGCACGGCTAACACAGTAAAGAACAGTCTTGTTCAATCTCTTTTGAGAAACCAACTGTTTCGCTAAAGGACACGTTACCATTTTGCTGCGTAGCAAGGTAGAGCACCAGCAGCTTGCGGCTGTGCTGCAAGGCTCTGGCTGTGTAGTTAGAGGCGCTCAACGCTTGCTGGAACACAGTCAGGCTGTCGCCCACATCCAGGGGAACGCAGACCAGCTTGCCTGCATCTGAGGCTCCTGCACGGAGGAAAAGAGGTCAGTTACTGGCTTGTGAGAAAACTAACAGACCTGGATTGACTGAATGTCATGTGAGGCTCCTGAGCTGAAGATCTCACTAAGCGGATTTATGTGTTCCGTAGAAATCTGCAATGGTCACCGGTAATGTAAATAACACAAGCTTTTAGCTGATATCAAGCAAATGTTTTCTTAGCAAATTTCTAAGTTTAACAGGCCTGTGAAACTGGCTCAGTTCAAGCACGCGTCTATGGTAATGGCTGCAGCCCCTACTTCCCATAGAGTCGCATGCAATTTCAAGACCCAGCCAAGTAACTGGGACATCGCCTAAGCACAAGACTTTAACAAGATCTTTGTCCATTTCTGACAACTGGAAAGAGAGCAAAGAATATGCCAACTTCTGAAACAGAAGTTGAGACGAGTAAGTAACAGTTGAAGCCTTGATGAACGTGGAAGCATCTTGGCCATGAAGAATGCTCACTGCTCTAGTTGAAACCCCTCTTCATAGCCCACTGAACATTGTACTTATATTCACAGGGTCTATGTTAGATTTGAATATGTCACAATTGTAATAACTGTTTTTATACTCTCACTTAAGTAATTAGGAATTGGCTGCATGGTCAACAGTAGTGCTATTTTTAGACTACAACTGCAATCCTTCGCAAAAGAGCCGAGAACTGACCTCCGTAAACATCGTGCCCCTCAGGGTCAATCCGTCCACCCATGTCAATGGCCTTGAGATCGGTGGGGTCCAGCTCCACCGTCAGCTGGACCTCCTTGTAATTCCTGGCTGTGATCAGTGCCCCGCCCAGCTTGTCTGAGGCACGTTGGAAGTGGGGCTGGACTGGGGGCGGGCCCCCGTAGGCCTGGAGGCGGGAGATGAGCTTGCGCTGGGCCTGGACGAGGAGAGGGCTGACCTGCTCCGAGTAGCGCTCCCTGACAAAAAAAGTGGGAAAACTGCCACTGTTAGCTGAACTAAACATCACCAATTTTCCTGTGAATGTGCACAAAACTTCGGCATCTTCGCATGAGCATTTGTTACATGGCAGCAATGGCATTCAAGTGCTGGTCGTATCTCTCTCCTTGTTACTGTTATGGGGATATTTGTATGACTGCATCCAGGCCAACCAGAATTTTAACATGGGCTCATGGTCCCCATTTTGTTGAGTTCCCAAGTGTTTTGATAAATCTCCAAATTCATCCTGCCATCTTGCTGTTTTTTACAATAACCCAAAAGTAGAATGCGGCTCTGCATGTTTGTTTCAGATTTTTATTTTTTAGTACTTTGGGGTGCAAAGTTTGTGTACTGATGTGCTCTATAACTAGCACATAAAAATAGTGGGAAAGTTTGAAAGTTGGAGATGAGTTAATGCATACCATATTTCAAACAAATATTATACTGTGTGAAATTCGGTGCCCTTTGCATGAGTGAAAATCATTAGTTTCAAAAATCACAAAAGACGACACTGACAGGTGGCTCAGGGTTGAACTCACTGTGTCAAGATGTTGAATCTCATGGCCACATCGGCCAGGCATTCCCACTGCTGTTCATAATACAGCATCTCCAGCACCCTCAGCACCATGCGACGCATCCAGCGGGAGTCTACAGTGCTGACGTCATCCAGGGCGTTCTCAAACTTCAGGCTGGCCCCGCCCTTCTCGTCCGACACCGTCCCCACCCAGGTGTTGACTAGGATGGGTGGCTGCTTCTTGGACTTCTGCGGCAACGAAAAGCAAACAGTATTTTGGAGAGGGTTTGTGGAGAGGATTTTTTTGGGTTGGTGGTGCTCCCTATTGACTCTCTTCAAAGCGTGACTGATGGATTTAACATTTCTTCTCACCTAACGCGAAAAAAAAGAGGAGTTGATTCTAAATCAGAAGTTATCTCTGGAAACTCTTTGGGATAACTTGGTCTATCTCGGGTTACATTTCCGAGCCTGCATGACGTCAAATGGACAAAGTTCTTTAAAATAGCCTTTTCTCAAACGGCCCGAGAACAGGATTTCATTTTTTACTGAGAGAAGAGAACTACATAAATTGTTGTAACAGTATCACGTCAAAGTGTACTTGATACGTTAGTCAAGCTCACGTTTTTTACGAACACTCCCTTGTTGAAATTTTGCCTACTAGGTAAAATTAAACATTTCTCCCTGGATGTTGGAATTCCCAAAATAGAAGCTGCGACATTGGGCGACTGCTGAGCCTGTGCTAGACTGGAGACATGGATATAAGAACAGGGAAGTTTCTGAAATGGTATTGGATGCTATGCAGGCTCAACATGTTGTCTTATCTTGCAGTTTCGTCCACCTAGTGCTTAAAAGAACACACAAATATGCAAACCAAGGTGGGTCTACACTGGTGTGAATATTTACACAAATTGACATCTACATCAGAGGTCATACCGTGTTGGTCACTAAATCGGACACTAAATAGGTGTATGAGATATTCTGGAGCACCAGGTGGTGTACCTTCTGAGATGCCTCGGCCTGGCTCTGCAGGCACACCATCATGTCCAGCAGGCAGTCCACGGCCGTGTAGAAGGGCCGCCACACCACAGCCCTCAGGGCCTCCACGGACAGCAGGCCGTTGGTGTGGCCGCTGGCGAAGGTGTGGAGCAGGGCCGTGTGGGCACAGTTCCACAGGGCCCGGCTGGCGTTCTGAAGGAGAGTCCAGTGGCTGCCGCGGTGCGCCAGCACCTGGTGGGAAAGGTAACATGAAACGGAGGTTGAGGCTACAATCTAGAAACACTGGGCCTGATTATCATCGACTGCATTTGGCTCCTGCGCAAATGTTATTTCCTCTTTTTAGGGTAATGCATTTTTTTTTCATCATTTTCACGTATGTTTGGGAGGGGACTGGAGGCTGCGTATACTTTTCAAACTTATCAGAAATGAATACATCCAGCGCAGAAACCATGATCTTAATATTCGTCCTCTTTGTATGCTCCTAACAGGGGACCTAAAGTTTCGACATCTGATATCGAATACAACTTGAACTTCAATCTTAGGTGTTTGAGAGAATTCCCTGCCTAGCTCCACTTCCAAGACAACAAGAATATAATGGCCCGAGCATCAGTGTTGTAGTTGTGGCCATGGGACCAAACACAAGACCAGTGATAAGTCAAACGGGGGGGAACAGAAAGTGGTTAGGTTTAAAGAAGGGGCTGCAGTCAACTAACCACTGCCTTCTTGAGGTGGTTGAATGTCTTCTTGAGGCTGTCTACGGTGGCCTGCGTGGTGATGCCGGCGTAGTCGACGTGGTGCTGTGGGGCCTTGGTGGTGGGTTTCTCGCTGTCGTAGGACCGGTACGTCCTCATGGTGTCTGACTCTTTGTCGTCGGGAGGTGGGGGCACCAATGGCACTGGCTTACCTTTGAAAATCACAAAGATGGTTAAAAAGTCATTGAAAAAGTGTCCATAAAAGGTGTCTTTATGAGACAGTGAAATGAAATGTCAAATTTACTTGATCCACAGCAACAATAGCCATCCTTGGTTGGCTGGTTGCAAACAAATAGTTTACTTTGATGAAAGTCACTTGACTGCGGCTTGAAATCACACGTCTCTATGGGAACTGGCTGAAGCCAGCTCTGTAGGTTTGTGCATAACTTCTAGCTGCAGCCAAGCAATTCGGACACAACTTTGTACTGACTTGGCAACAGTGATGAGAGCAGCCAACCTCACTGGCCAGTGGCTTAAGCGGTTCCCACCGGTGCTTGTGTTGACATGCAGGGATTTCCCATGCATGCTGCATGGAGGATGTTTAAAGTTAAACAGGTCTCGGCAAATTCTGTATGCATTATCGGATGACATCTATCCTTGTCCACACACTTGGGTGATTTGCATTGAGTATGTATGCACAAACAGAGCCACCAACTAAGGAGTGCAGGTTGAGCGTGTGAAGCGTTCACTGGGTCGTGGGCCACAGCTGGGCATCGCAGCAAATATTGCACAGCAACATAGTCTCAGAGATTCAAAAAAGGTGATGATGCAGTGGGACCTAACAGAAATCTTGGACAAATATCTCCCAAGGGTTAGCGTTTGGGTAAGCCTGTGGTTGGCACCTCTTGCTGTTTTCAGAAGTCTGCCTCTTTTGGCTGAAAATAATACTGAGCCTCGGACGAGTCCATTGTGGAATAATGTCTACCAGTCTTTGACTGGTTTATGAAAACAAAATGACTTATGTTACACTGACTTACCCACAGTAACAAGCGCAGCCACCTCGATGGCTGACGGCTGCATCTTGTACTCGTCCCCTGGGTCCATCTGCTGCAGTTGCACCATGACGGGGTCGTTCATGGACGGCCGTGTGTCATCCTGCCTGGTAGCTGCCCGGGATGGTCCACCGTCCCAGCCTACTACCAGGGTGCCCGCGGTCTCAAAGGTGAACCATTCATTGTCCAAGTAAGAAGATCTATGGAAGGCAAGAAATCATAGATTTTTACTGAACTATCTGAATAGATGAAAATGAACAATAAACTTGCTCAACTAGGATGTTTTTCTTTGAAAGTTTGCCAGAAACCCTCTTAAATAATACAAAAAAAGATTTATCAGTCATCACACAGCTTGAGTCACTATTTGAAAACCTACTTTAAATAAACTTAGTTTGAAATTAATTATGGTTCTAAACATTCTGGGAAGGTTTTATAATTCAGGATAGGTTACTTTCTGCTCAATCCAAGCAAAGCTGACTTTGTCCACCTAGTGTGGTCCCCTTGCAATCAACCTTGCTCTCTCAACCACTACACTTTCTTTTACATGTACATACAACTATTGAACTCAACTGGAAAATGCAGTACAGCCACTTTCAATGCAGCAGATTTTTTTGAGTCAGTGATGGGAATCTTTCCAGTGCTGCTGCAAATTTACCTGTAAATGTCTCCCGCCGCTGGTCCCATCAGTTTATCTCGCTTCTCCACCTTGTTCAAGAACTGGGCAAAGTGGCACAAGCCCTGAAGGATGTTCAACTACGAATGCAACAGAGAGAGAGAGAGAGAGAGAGAGAGAGAGAGAGAGAGAGAGAGAGCAGACCTGGTGACTTCTGTTATCTCACAGGGAGAGATTCATACAGTCTCCCCACATAATCAGAGTCGGGCTGACCTGTTTCATGGCCTAGATAACCCTCCAAAGATAATCAAAATTTTATGCAATATTGTAAAATGACTGGACTTGATGATAAAGCTACTGACGTGACAAATTGACAACAACGTTTGCTCTTTGCCTTGGGGATATGTTTTCGCCTTAGCCTTGAAAAGCGCCCATCTTCTAATTGGCTCCCCTACCCTCGCCCTACCCCCCATACCTGAGTTCTCCAGGGAATCTCGTCGGCACATATCTTCCTCAGACGCTGCTTCTTCTTCTGGGTGTGGTAGAACTCGGGCAGGATCTGCTCCAACTTCTCAAAGGCCTGCCGTCAACACAACGCCGCATGGGAATGAATGGACAGGATCCGGTAAAAAAACAAGAAGTAAGGAAGGGCAGCACGGCATAAATTCAACTTATTTCACCAAGTAACTTTCGAAACTAATGAACCAGCAGCAGTGGGAATGACGAAAAAGAGCCCCTTGAATAAAACAGGTACAACAGTAAAAGGATGACGTTTTACCAACACTGCAAAAAACAAACCAACCGACAAACAAACAGAATTTATATCAGGTGGCTCTTCACCTGATAAGAACGTCTCAAAACTCACATCGCATTACTCAATAAGTAATAATGTGTTTAATTAGATTTACTTACCACAGGACCAATTTTATGGAGCTGGTAAGCAAAAACTAATGCTCAGCAAATTTACGTCCTCAGCAAAAAAGCCACTAAGACTGAGTCACATACATTACACGCTGCACAATGGCTTAGTTGGAGACCTCTATCAGCTAAGCAAATATGGTTCATGCTAAGCAAGCTTCTGCAGTTAGCAGCCTCAAACTGTCCATTGGTCTTGTATCAGTGCCCCCTTTTCCTGATTTTGCCCCCCTCCCCGGCCCCCTCTATCTCTGCTGACCTGGAGCTCCTTCTGCTCCTGCTGGGCCTTGGCGGCGTCCGACATCTTGGCCTGGTGGGACCGGAGGTGCACCAGCAGCTGGAACTTCTTCTTCTTGCGCCGGGGGCTCTTGGCGTCCTGGGCCTCCGGCTGGTTCTTGTTGGTGGCCGCCTGCACGGCGGTCGGCTTGTTCTGCCTGAGGAAATAAGACAGTGTCAGCGAGGATGAGATGTGAAGGTTTGCATGGTGGAGGACGCAATGTGGGGGAGCTCTGCCATAGCTCTGCGTGGGAAGTCTCGCTCTTCTGCGCACAGGTGAGGTACTGAAGAGAACGAGTGGACTTATCATCTTGAGCAGTATGATGTGCCTGTTGTAAGGATTTTTGAAACAGTGTGACAGGAGAGAAATTTCATTCTCCATACTTGTGTGCAAAGACAACTCAAAACTTGATTTCTTGACGACCGTTGCGTCCACCGAAACCTTTATTCTGTTGAAATTCTACCTTTGTGTACTCAATGACGGCGGCAGCGTATTTCTTGGGGTCATCTCCGGCTACGGTCACCCCGCCTGGCTGCTTGGACAGTGTGGCCTTCACAGCTGAGAGCTGCTCGTTGCGTCTATGAGGATACAGATGACAAAACATGGGTCATTCGGATTTCAAGATCTAAAAGCTATTATTTGGAGCACTGTTTGGAAAAGATGTTCAAACATGGATTTCAAAGAAGCAAAGTCCCCGAGAGAAGAACCTGACATTAAGCCAGTTCAGATGTGTGTTTTGGTGCTCGAGTCGGCGTATAGACACACTGCAAGGGCTGACCTCATTCGATGTTCTCGCATGACCTGTGATACACTTCCCGCTGTGCATGCATTTTTGCCATGCTGAACTGCTTCACTGAGGAACAGAGCACTCAAACTGTAATTGTTTCAGTCATCATTTTGATGCGTACTATAAGCAAAATTTTAAACAGCAAAACAAAAATCTCCAAACAAGCAAAAATTTATGACTTGCCTCAAACCAGCTATTGGTCTGACCCTAGCATCAGTAAGTCTGGAAGGTGCTTCTTGCCAATCGCGAGGATGAATAAGCCCAGTTTATTTTGAAAAACGTAAAGAGAAAAACAAATGCACCCCTTTGACCTGGAAAGGTCCCATCCAGAAATGACCTGGAGTAACGCTGACCAGGAACCTTATTTTGGAGAGGTTATTTACCTAATAAGCCACTGGCTGGAGTCTTGACACCATTCAATGGCCGTGTCGACCAATCCCTCGCTCAATGCCTTCTGAACCACCTGGACCACAAACTCCAGGAAGCGAGCGCGCCGGCGAAACTTTACAACTACAATGATTTGGTAAGCAGGCAGCAGGAATGAAAAGAAAAAAAAGGCTCTGTCAATTTCCCATTCTTTTCAATTTTCTTTACTGGGTAGATGAGTGATTTTGGGACAACTGAGAGTGGAAATTAACAAAACAGTAAGCAGCATGTAGTTAACTTTTTTTTTTTAACCACTTGCTGCCGGATGGTTTGAAAAATGCAGTGCACGAAATTGGGACTTTTCCAAGATTTTCAGTTTTCAAAATTCTTCAAAAATTCATTATTTCAATTAATGGACGTTTACACCCACATGAATGACTGTCTGTTGGCCACTTTAGTCTGACAGACAAAATCTATTGACGCCCGAGTATTTCAGCCAGGCCTGCAGCCTTGTAAAAAGAGCCCAGATTATGCGGTGTTATGTAACTTTCTTTTGTTCATGAACCTGGCACAGTGCGCTGCTGACCTCTTTCCAATAGGGGCCAGATTAGCGTGCAGTGGTGCTATGTGGCTCATCGCTGCGGCGGTGGAGCGCTTTTGTCCCCGGTGGTAATCCGCTAGCTCTGAATGCCCCAAACCGTGGTATACTGTTTCAAAACAAGGCTGGATTATCTCCACTATTGAGAGTGAAAAAATGTCGGTAATGCCCAGCAGCCTGGTCTTTTGTTCCGAGTACAGTCTTTAGTTACAAGGCTCAGTTCCCTTTGTCCCATTTCAGATTCCGTGTATAAAGCCTACGTGCTTGAAAACGGGTCGCCCAGCAGCAAGTGGTTAAATTAAAAGGCAAATATACAAGGAAATGATGAATCATGTATTAACTTTTACTTTGCTACAACAGTGCTTTGGATAAGACGGGAGTAAATTTTTTAGAAAAATTCAGTTCTGCATCCTGTGAAATGAACAGTAATACGGACATGGGAAAAAAAACACAGCTGTGGTACTTCAAAGTGTCAAGGTTTCACACACTTTACCTTCTTTGTAGGCATATCTGCTTGGTAAAGCTGCGATGAAGGCATGCAGGATGTTAGGGTCTTCAGACCCAGTCAATTCATCGGCATTGTGAGCTGTTCAAAGGATAGCAAAGGAGTGAAAGTCAACTGGTTATCATCTTACATAATGCACCTACAATGTTCTGCAACCTGAGGTCCAAAATCAAGAAAAGAATCCCTGGAAACTGGGAAGCTTATTAGCAAATAGAAATTCACTCATGTAAAAAACAACCAAAACGTCAAGTTTCCCTACAAATGTACACATCAGGCAGAATTCCTTGAGAGAAAAATTGCCAAAAAAATCTATTGTTGTGTTCTGGTCTTCTCATATTACACAATTACACATCAACACTGAACTGTCCCCTTAACAATCCAAATAGCTATGGCAGATAACGTACCGAGTTTAGATAGTTTGAGCATGTGTGCCTCCAGCGCCCTCAACTCCTCGTTCTTCGGGCCTTCCACATTGTAGATGGTCTGACCAAACCGTCGAGGGCGCTTCTTCTTGGCAACCACTGCCCCTGCTTGGCCAGTCCCGCCGTCGACGTCCTCGATGAAATCGATGGCCTCCACCTTCCCTTTCTGCTCGGACTCCTGAAGGAAAAAACACCCCCAACAAGTAAGGAGCTGCATATATTTTTGTACAAATACGCTGATGTTACATGCTCACGGAGTTCATGAGAGATTTGGGTAGTGACCCGCACAAGTTCATAAAGAGCAAATCAACTCTTGGGGTTAAAACCAACATTAAGTCTTAACTTATCAATATGTTACTTGCAGGAGTGAGAGAGATGTTCTTGAACTGAGTCCTGTCCGAGCAAGTAGTAAAATGTCTTCTCACTAGTTCTCAGAAATACACAATGCTTGTAGATGTTGCATGGGTGAAGCAAGGACGTAAGGGGGCTTTGACTATTTTGCCTGAAATTCCAGGCATACAGGAAAAAATATGAGAAGCACAGACTGACCTTCTTTTCAAGTTCCCAAAATTCAACATGCACAAAAATGCAAAGAGAAAAATTCCAGTTTTGTAAAAATACTAGAATCGGAAGCTCCGTCTGACCTTCTCAATGGCCAGCATTTTCTTGCCGGTGTCGGTGACATGGTTGGCCAGACCCTTCTGCTTCCAGACCCGCAGCACCTTGGCCATGTGGTAGGTGATAACGGCGATCATGTGGTGCAGGCTGTCCGAGACAGATTGCTGGCGGCGCTGGCGCAGGCTGGCCGGCATCTCCAGCAGGATGGCATAGCAGCGCGTCAGCACCTGAAGACAATAAAAAGACTTACGGCGTTGAGGTCTGGGACTTTGTGAGTGCTTCGTTAGCACTCATAGGTCTTCACTGTTAAAATGCATGTATCCCAGTCTCAATGTAAGCTAAAGGCTTCTCACATAATTTCTTTGTTTTTACACAAGACTTGGCAGGAATCAGAAGTGGCTACTGTCCCATGCCGGTCAGCATGCACTATTAATGTGCTCTTAATCTAACTGCATACCAGTGTTGTAGTTGAGATCATCACAAGACCAGACACAAGACCCGACACAAGACCATGCACAAGACCACGCACAAGACCAGTCAGAAGTAACGACAAAGGAATGCTTTTGTTGCAGTTCATTTGAATAGCTTGTGACTTCAACTCGGACTGGAGGTCTTGTGTTGGTCTTGACCTGGTCTTGTGAAGGTCTTAAGTGGTCTAGACCACAATACTGCTGCACACCATGAAAGTGCCCGAGACAGACCATGGTGCTTTGCACTTCCATTAACCAAAAGGGTATTTCTGCAAGGCGGTGATAGCAAAACTAAAATAGCTTGTAATTTCATTGATAAAAAGTCCACGGACACAGCAGAGGAGCACCTTGATTATAATGAAGTGTGTGCATGAAGAAAAGTGTTCTGTTTTTTTTCCCTAAAATATCACAGAATCCAGAGTGACACAAGTTGCATGAACAGAAGTCTTTGTTTAGCGACTGCAAAAAGCCATCCTCCAGTTGTACTTGGCTGAATACATCCTGGGCTGGCAGGCTGCATCTGAGTCATTTGTTTTGTGGCTGTGACTTGGGCTCATGTGCTAACCCATCACAGTGGAAATCATAGCCACAGCCGTAAAACGTCAGTTGCAGACGCAGTCTTGTGGCATGACAGCTCTCACCTGTACAACTGGCGTGGATGGGATCTTGTAGTGGATGATGGGAGCCAGCAGCCCGTAGCACTGCACCACGGCCTGCAGGGCTAGGTTGGACTCGTTCAGCCAGCCAGCTAACTCCATGGCCACTAGCATACGCTCACACTCAGCCAATCGTTGAAGCTGTGAACGACAGGTACCACAAACATCAAAGAATTTCTGCTGTGCTGATCGGCAGCATGCTGCCCACCCTAATACTGACAGGAAGCACCGAGAAGAGAACGAATCTCGTCTGGAAAGCACCAAAGTTAACCTATTTGCTCCATGGATCACACAAGTCAAAGTTAAAATGGCCTACTTCACACAGGTTTCAATTAATAGACTGGTTGCTCTGTATATCCATGTTAATATACTACATCAAATTAGATGTTTGTTTTTCATCAAATACCAACCTGCCCCTTAGAGTAGGGTCCTCGATCACAGAGCTTGTCACAGTAGATCTCCCCTTCTCTTACACTGACGTCTACATTGATGAAGATGCTGGTTAGGAACATCCGCAGTAGGACTGGGGAGGCTACGGAGCAAGTCTTGGGGTTCAACCTTGATGGGCAGGGAGAGGACACAACACCAGTAACAACACGTGCCCTATTAATACTGGCCATCTAAAGTAACTGGCTTATCCGACTTTTGGTATCAAACGAAATCGAAAAGAGCAAAGAAATAATGGAAGTAGAAACCTAACTCAGATGTAATGGATACGATTGATGACAAAGTATCATATTATTCGAACCTTATTTCTCTCTTTGATGATCAACGACAATTCATCTAAAGTGAAATGTTCAAATTAAAAAGGTTTCTGGATTTACTGGACTCCAATGGCTAATTTGAACATTTCCCCCACCCCTAACAAAATGTGAAATGTTCAAATTAAAATAGGTTTCTGGATTTACTGGACTCCAATGGCTAATTTGAACATTTCCCCCACCCCTAACAAAACATCTAACCAGAATAATCTATAAACACGGAAATTAGTACATTTGTGAATAAAAAAAAATTACACGGCTGCCACTTTCCTGAAGGTCATACCATGCAAATAGAGAGAAAGGAACGGGATAGCTGAGTAGTCTTGCTACATCTCTTGCATTTCATTAAAAAAATCAAGAATTCTTTCTTTGGATGAAGTAAAATCTTAACAACACCCCTGGGAATGGGGTAAAACACTGGCGCTTACTTTCTGAGGGTCAGCTTGAAGTCCTCTCTAGCCGTCACCAGCTCAACGTCCGATTCTGGTGGCGGGACGGGGGCCACAAAGTGGTCCCACAGCACGGTGCTGGCAGTCAGGCCGATGGGATAGCACCCAACCTGGTAGGCAGCCTGGAGGCAGGAAGAAAGAGGGGCAGAGTTACTACTGTGGAGACCAAAACACGGTCCATCACAAGTCAATCAGTCTTAAGCTAAGTCGTAAGCTATTCAAAGTAACTGTGACAAAAGCATTCCTACATCAGTGTTCACCTTGTTGCTTAGGACTGGTCTTGTGAAAGGTCTTGTGACTGGTCACGTGAAGTGACTCGTGTTGGACTTGACAATAACCTTACTCTGAATTCCCACAACCCTCACAGGGTCTAAGGCTGACATACCTGACTGAGGAAGGCCCAAGTCATGAGGATGGGCAGGGGGTGCGATGCCAGGATTGGCTTGGTGGTGTCGCCGATGCTGTCCCCGATGAGAACGCCGTTGGCCGTGTACGCCGCCACAGCAAACACGTACTTCTCGTTGGTCTGCAGGCCCGAGATGTGCAGCTCACAATCATACGCTGGTACCTAGAGGCAGTCGAGACAGACAGAAACATCAACTATTACTTCCATGAGTCATTTGTGACCATTTGTTAAAATACTAGTCATTGTCTGACACTGAAGAAATGTGCTTGCACTTCATCAGTTTCAGCTTTTAAAGTATGATTTTCAACTTGAAGGTTCAAAAGAAGGAAGACATCATCGCTGCAGTGTCATCAAACTTGAACATGCATCCTTACACTCAAGGTGGACTTTGGCAAGGCCCATTACGCTTTTGGTGGAAGACGTCAGTGGGGCCACTACACACGCTGTGTGCGAGTACGGTACCGCTGGAGTAATGGCTTCTAGTTCTGCTTGCCAGATCATTTGGTTGTTTATCTGTATTGATATGTGCAGTTACCTCTTCCCCGGTTCCAGGCAGGAAGTAGTCATTCAATCTGACTTTGACGTTGCTACCACTGGCCAGCCGGCCAAACAGCCTGTACCAAGCCACCTGCAGGCAAACAGAGGAGAAACATTCAGCGTGAGAAATGGGCACTTGTCACTAAGAGGGCCTGGCTAGGACACTGCTCCTCGAGATTGTCAGCGGTGCTATGTGGTAGCACTCCCTGACCAAGTTGGTCTAGTGATGAAATGGAAGCATATCAACCCAAGAGAGCTGTAAAAAAATGTCATTTCGGGAGTTGCCTTCCTCAGAAGTTTTTCAAACCTTGGCTTTGTCTCTGTCTCAAGCTTTTTTGTGGCAGCAAAACCCCAAGGAGGCCTCTCATATTGGAACCAAATTGAATTGAATTGAATTGAATTTCCACCTCTGGGTTGACAGCACAGAGTTTGAGTTCACTTTTTTTCATTGAGCTAAAAACTCCAAAGTAAAAAAGTATGTCAAGCAGAAAGATTTTGACCCCCTAGATTCCAAAGAGACAGACAGCTCAAGGGGGGGTTGTTGACCTCCCTCACCTTCTGTGGTGGGTTATAGGGGCCTGGCCTGAAGACCATGGTGGTGTCAGTACGGCAAAGCAGTAATGGGGCCGGGGGCACCCCTGACTCCCTGGCCGTCTGGCCCTGCTGCTGCTGGGGAGCATTGTAGGCAAACAGCTTGTACTCCTGGTCTTGGGCCTTGGTCACTTGACTCACTACCTCCTGCGGCACAGGACAGGGAAAAAAAGGGGGGGAGTAAGAAAGACCAGACGTGAAGCACAGATTAGCCCGCTTCTTGGGAATTCGAAGTTGTTTTGAAACGCTCAAGTATGCTTTACTGAATGTGAAGGTCACTTTTTCTTTCATTATGTTAAGACTTCAATAGAAATTTGGAGATTTCTCTCACCAAAATGACCACATTTTCTGACAAATTCCGATACACAGGAGTGTTGGCCATATCTACATGAGGGACCCACATGCAATTACTTGAATATGGTTGACAGCAGACAAAGGTCTTGAAATTGCAATGTTTAAATTGATTGCCAAATAAAAGTCTCAATGTTTGCAGTGTTAAATAGGCCTCCGGTCAAGTTTCCACATAAAGCGTGAGATAGCACACTGAATCATGAAACATTACACCAATGTACAAAAATCACTGAAATTTGTTCACACTGCAATACAGAACACAGTGACAATTAAGGCTAACCTTTAAGAGTCCAGCTTGCTCCTGAGTCGGGACACCAGACTTGGACATCAGCAGGGCCCTCTGCATGAGAAAGAGAGCCCTGGATATCGGGTTCTTTCCACAGCTGCTCAGTAGCTCATCGGCTGTCTCAATGTGGACAACGTGCCCATCTGCTCTCTGGATCTGAGTTGTGGCCAAAAATATGTTTTTTGAAAGTTTGGAGGGTTGTCTTCAATTCCAAAAAGCTTCATCTACTGAGGTGCTATTTTATTTTCCCCGATAATACTCTGTAATGTCATACACCCAGCTAATAAATAAAAGAACTTGCCCCTTGGCAACATAAATATTCAAAAGCCAACATATAATGGGCCAATAGCAAAGCAGAGATTTATAAAATGCTGCAACTGCGACATTACTAGAGTTACTTCTCCCATCATGCAAATATTGAAATCTTGCCATCAGCAAGCATTAGCATGTCCGTGCCATAACATACTCCTAATGTGAGAACAGTTTTTTTCTGCTCAAGTTAGAACAGCTGTTCTCTGAGCCACTTTAACATGATGAAAATTGCCCCCAACCAAAAAGACCCCAAACCAACAGACTATGTTGTGGTGACCTGAATGATGAGCCATTACCGAGTGGCACCACCCTCGGCACAAGTGGTGAGTGTGCTCAGTGCACACCTCTTTGACCGCTTTTGTGTCTTGCCAAAATGCAGGCGCAATTCAAGTTGCAGAACGCACCGAGAGTAGCGGTGCAATACCAGAGAAGGCGTCTCCTCAATTGAGTCTACACAAACACCAAGTCTCACCAGTCTCTGCTCTGGGGCTGCCCGGCTCTTCTGCCCCTTCCCAGACCCCGCCTTGGCCTTGGTCCCCCCACTGCCGCCCTCTCCCCAGCCGCCGCTGACGGTGCGGGCCAACTTGAGACAGACCCGGTGGTACATGTACAGCAGCTCCAGGTGAAGGTCCATGATGGTGTTGTGCACCCCATCAGGGTTGTCCTCGGCCTTCTCCGTGGTGGTGTCCTTGTCCGCGGCGTCCAGGACAATGGTGGTCTTGCTTGTCTTACCGGATGCATTGTCCTGTTGGAGAAACAAGCAGTGGCAATGAGCACCACGGAACTAGGAGAAATTTGTGTAAACGCTTCGGAATGCCTGTTAGCATGATGTTGACATTAATAATACGGCAGGGTTCTTCCCAAGTACAACCTTGCGTATTGGCCCGATATGCGTGATTCTATTCCGGATCGTTGCCGATACACAAAAACATTGCCAGATACCCGTTTTTTTGCCCCCTATACGCACGTTATTAGGCCTACCATTGTACAGCCAATAGTGGGAATCGAAATGGGCTATGGCGCACGCATTGTGGGCATGGATTGTTTTTGTGTAAAAAACATACTTCAAAGTCTCCCCATCAAAATGATGATTAGAAAACCACGAACCACTTCTGACTACTAAGGAACTATTTTCTGTGCTAAGCTAATATCTGCGGTGAGTAGGTCTTTGAGATTAGCCCCTGGCATCTAAACACTCTTCAGATTTCAAATGCCTAGCGACATACATAATTCCAAGGACCCAATTTCATATGGCTGCTTAGCAGAAAAATCTTACTGAGCACATTTTTGTACAGAGCAAAAATTAGCAGGACACTCACAACCAACAAGCGTGCTATGGCTTTTTGGCTGGTAACCTGTTTTTGCTAAACATGAATTTTTCCGCTAAGCAAGCTTTATTTGATCCCCGACACTCGACCATGTTTATGACCTATCCTGTTAAAATGAGTCATCAGGTAATTTTTTTTCAATAAGAGTTTGGCTCTTTGTGTTGATTTATCACTCATTTTGGTGTTCCGATAAAATGATAATTGCACAGGTGGAAAAATGTTGAGACGGTTTGCAGAGATTTCCATCACTGAAGATTTTTTAAAGGCCTGTTATTTGAAAGCGGCTCTGCTGATTTGTGACTCGTATACACAGTTCCCATTTAGCCACTTTACCTTGACCCAGCTGACGTCGGCAATAGACTTGCCGTCCGTCAGCGCCACGATCTGTCGCGCCTTGGACATCCCCTGCAGTGCCCTCTCCAGGATCTCCCGGGCGGCCAGCAGCTGCTCCTGCGCGCCCAGCTGCAGCAGGATGGAGGAGGTGTACTGGGAGGTGCTGGCCCGGCCGCCCTGGGCCGTTGTGGTGTCCCTCCCTGCCTCGCCTGTTGGCCTGGCAGGGGACTTGAGGACAGGAGTAGCATCTGGGTGTCAGACACGAGAACAGTAGAAAACAGTGCAACCGTAAGTGACTCACATTTTGGTTAATGATAAAGTAAGCCATGAGCCAGCTCAGTACTCCACTGGCCTATGCACAAAATGAAGTGTGTCTGAATGTCACAGCATTGCAAGCATATGAGGTCTGCCCTTTTGGTGCCGCCATATGGCAACTCACAGGCCTACTACGTTCTAAAATGACCTTACCCTTTAAAATGTCTAATGGCTCAATGTTAATATTCTTTAAGTGTTATGAAAAACATGCAGTCAAAGATAAAATGATTACTAATTTCCCCAGCATAATTTTTGACCACCAGGCAAACAGCTGAGCCACTGGTATGTTCAGATGCCGTAAAACTACCTCGGACTCTGCATGAGGACTACTTTTACCTTCTGTCCAGAAATCCTTACTCTGCTCACTCATCCTGAAGCAGGGGGCTTTGAGGTGTACAACTTCCTCTACCACGAGGGCTTTTCACGCCTGCATGGGCTTTGCTGCAAGATCGCAAACTCTTTGGGCCTTGGTAAGCCTCTAATCGTGGAGTTTTCAATCAGTGAGTACCTTTCTGGAGTGTAGAGATGGACTGATCATCTACATCTCGGGACTGCCTGCCTCCAGAGCCTGTCTCCACAGCTGCTGTCTTAGCTTTCACCTTGCCTGTCTCATTGCAATGCCACAAAATTGTGAGTTTGAAAAAAGGAATCCGGGTGAAAATGGAGAACGCTTGATCACAGCAACACTTTTGGCAAAAATTATTTTGTAAGTAGAGGACTAACAGAAGGAAGATTGTCTCCCGTTAAGTCATGCATATATATCAATTTTAAGATACTGCAGTGTCAACGCTTGACTGCAGCCTTTTCAAGCTGCTCTATTCTTAAAAAGTGACCTTTGATCCATGGAGAGACTCACAAGGGAACCTTTTTACCGAAGCTTCCCCTAAAAAAAAAAAGAAGAGAGATTACTGCATGGAGATTTTCCTCCTTTCTTAATCAGTTGCATTACCTGCGTCAGACTCATTGGCGGCGTTATTTTCCAGGACGAGGGCCAGGCGGATGGCCACCTCGGCTGTCACTCCAGAGTCCATGGTGCTGATCCCGCACCAGTACATGACCTCGTGGACGATACTTAGGATGTGAACCCACTGCAATGTGTGAAAAAAGAAAAAAACCAAGCTAAGCTTGGGAAGGGGCAGGAGGGCATCAAAATTTAGAATGCTCAAGAAGTTCTGCTGGGAATACTGTCTGGGGGACAATTGTTTTGCAACACTAGGGGCAAGTCTGAATTAAAAGCAGCTGGAAATTATGCAGGATTTTACGGAGTCTTGTGTAACTTCAAGCCGAAGCCAAATGATTAGGATGTGGCCTGTATCACAGAAACTTTTCAATCACAGAAAATCTAAAGTTCAGCAAACTGGGTTACCAGCCAAATGTCATGCAGTGTACCTCTAGAGTGACTGGTTCTCGGTTGGTTTTTGCTTAGCACATAAATTTCCTAAGGCCATTTCTGAATCACTGGGCTGCAGCTTGAAATTACACAGAAGTCTATGGTAGTGGCTGTAGCCCCCATAGAGTCATGTGCAATATGAAGCCGTAGCCGAGCAATTCTGACATGGGTGTAACCAATATGTCCTGATTAGCAGCTCTAAAAAATTGGCCTGTGGTCTAATTTGGGATATGTGCAAAACTGAAGCTTAGCACAAGTTGGCAACAAATATTGAGTCAACAGCAACTTTATCACATTGAAATAAGTGTATGCTCATGTTAGCAATCTAAGCAGGATGGTTAAATCTAGCTTAGGCAAAAATGCTCCCATTTTAAAAGGATTTTTAACAAAATGTAAGGTACAAAACCATGGCACACAGCACTCCACAAAAAATGTGACATCTAGACCTGTCTATGGAAAACATTGAACGGTGATTGGGTCCCAAATCTATTGACTTTTGGGCGCTGGATTCAGAATGTTTTGGAGTGAAGTACTCAAAGAAAACAGTACTCCATACAACAGCGTACTGACGCTCCAATTTTGGCACTTGGTTCACATCTTACCTTGTTTGGCTGGTCAATTTTCTGCAGGTATTTCCCGCTATCAGATGCCCCCGTCTGGACCTTCTGGAAGACAGACTTACAGCGATTCCACAGGAACAAGGTGGCGTCGACCACCATATCCCTGTCCACAGACTCCTGAATTAATGAACAGAGCAACATCCACACTGGAGGCATTGTCGGTTGGGACAGACACACCTGTTTGTCATTCAGTTTTGCCACTGACTTTTCATGATGGCTTTACTCTACTTCCTCATTTGAGTAAAAAGGACTTCAGAATCGAGAACTGGTTTATTTCTGATCTACTCAATTCTACTCAAGTCCAGTGCACTGAACGTCAAACTGCTTCCAACTGAACTTTATATTACAACGAACGTTCAACAATAAAGACTCCAGGAGAAATGAGGATATAGATATACGAATATAGATTGGACTGGGCTAAGTTTTAGAAATAAAGAAGCTGGTTTTATTAAGCACATACTGCCATGGGATCCTTGACGCAGGAGTACAAGACTTCAGCGAGTTGAACCATGTCATCATTCAGTGGTAATGTAGATCGTGGCTGGGGAGCTGGAAATCAAAACAGTCAAATAGATAAAATGCGGGCTAAACACATTTGTCTATAAACAATGGGCCCCTTCGAGCGATGAACAATTAGTACACCACTTGATGACTTTGCCCGGTGAGGGGCAGATACGTACTCTGTGAGCGTGTATGTGACTGGGCGGGCCCGTCAGCTATACTGCTGTCGTCGGTGTGGGAGTAAGGCTTTTTGGACTTCCTGCTTGGGTTCAAGGGATCCATGGCCTGAAGTATCTCCAGACTTTTGATCTCTGGGGTGTAGCGTTGATCGTTCTGATTCTGCATCGGGAGATGAAAGAAGTTTTTGTAAGCACTTCTTTTCAACCTTATCTCACATTTCTGTTGAGAAACATCTTAAAAGCTCTCAAATCTAAAACCATACAACTACTGACACTTTCTTTGAACTTTGAGGCTGGCCTGTCTGATCCTGAAAATACTGAAACACTTTTCTTTAGATGGATACACCTGTTCATATGCATACGTACTTTTAAAATCTTGAATACATTACTGAGGTTGGTTTTCCATGAGTGTTGGCAGCAGGGTTTGTTAGAACTGGGGGGGGGTTCCACATTCCCTTGGTTCTGTTAATCACCACTAATTCTATTTGTTTTTAATTATATGGTCCTTCTATATTACATTGTGATACACATTACGATGTTTTTAATAGTCCATGTGTGTAATTTTTTTATATTGATTTCCTTAATGGTGCTAGTATATTGGAATATTTCTACAGTTAATGTGCTGTATGTTTTAATATAACTTTTTGACTATTTTTAATATTGTTGGATGACCCAGTGAAAATCATCTGGTTTTTAGATGACATGGCTACCATCTGCACATAAAGCAATTATTATTCTTATTACTTGTGACATCATGGATTGGGTTGTAGTCAGTTTGTGGGGGTCAGAGTTATGCAAGAAATTGGACAGGCGGGGCAAATTTCTTTAAAACTGTTGAACTCTGCTCTTCTGTTTATATCGCAGGTATTCTTAGCATTTTCAAACTAATTAGGAGTGTAGAGCTGATCTTTTGGTTCTTTCAAAACAGTGGTTAGAATGTTTTTGGTAAAATCTTGCAACAGGACTCCACTCCCAGCCTAATTTTAAATTCAAGATAGCCAAGCCGAGCCCAAGTCATATCTTTATCAAAAAACAATCCTGTGGACTTTGAACCTAATTTTACAATTTTGTGAATCTCTAATGAATCTCTAATTTGAGTCTGCAAATTACATTAGAAAACCAATGGTTACTGTCAGACATTGCTTATAAAAAGGGCCTCTAAAACAAATCCTTAATATGTGGGAATAAATGAGCAAACATTTTCCTAAAAGCTCACTTTGAGGTACTCCAGCACTGCGATGACCAAGCTCTCGTACACCTCCCACTGCTCAAAGTTGTAGGCCCACTTGATAAACTTGACCACTGCGCTGATGGGTATGCCGTCCTGTGACCGTGCGGCCAAGTCCATCAGGCATTTGTCCTGGGTCACTCCCGCCAGGCTGACGTCAGTGGCCGAGTGGGGGCCTCGGGGGCTGTGGCCTGCCCCTCCTAGTTATCAGTGACAGGTTTTTTTTTCTATATTAGCTTCTATCAATGTTGCGCGGAACAGCAAAATGTTGAACTGGATTTACATTAAGCTAGCATCAACATATGGACCACTATTTGTGTACTGTTCCATAAATCAATGATATCTTTCTTATAAGAAAGTGTGTATTTAGTTATTTACTTATATTCATCAGTTTTGGCATTCAAGGCTCTACGTAATTACCCCTGCTCATCATGCCTAGAAGAACCTTCCTAAGACTATTTTGGCTTCATGGGGAGTATATGGCTTAGCTTTGCCATGTTCAGTTGGTGTAAAATGACTCAAGCACAACTACCATCTCTATTATCAAGTGCCTGATTAATCCTGAGTGGGCAGAAACAATTAGCCATCACAGAGTTTCTTGCCCAAGGACACCAATTCGATGAGCCCAGTTGCGACAAAAATCTGCAGATTTAACCACAAGATTTTGCATTGGACTTAGAAGCCCTGGCATTCCACAGTACCTCCAATGATCTCCATGCCAGCAAAGAACAGCTCCGAGTAGGTGTCCAGTATGTGATCCTCGGTGTCCGGGGCAGCGGGGCTGGTCAGCAGAGTCCGGCGGGTGCTGTCAGCCAGGGTCTCCAGGATAGCCAGGAACTGGGCGGCGCTGCCCTCAAACATGTCGGCAAGGAGTCTCTCCACAGCTGTGCGGGGCCACGGCAGCTAAAACAGACAGAAAAAAATCAGATGCTCTGCTCATGAATTTTGCTGGCAAAGAGGGAGGCTGAATCCAGTTGGAACTTGCAGGTAAACAGTATCAAAACATGCACGAGCTCTAACATGCTGCACACTGCATGCATGCAAAATTCTCATAATCTTATGCAAATGATGGGGAACAAAAGATTCCCCAACTACTAAATCAAAAGCTGTTAACATAAAATCTATAATATTACTTAGAATGCCAGTAGGCTGATCGAGAGAAATGAATAAAAAATGAAGTTCTCTTAATTTTTTCCCAATTGAGACTCAATAACAGGAAAACCTGAACACTTTCTTTAGACCTGTGTCAAACATTTCATCAAAGTAACATGGAGGAAGGTACAATGTTACTTCTTCTATTTGGTCTATGTAAATCAGGCTAAAAGGGTCAGAAATCTGAAGTTACCACAGTCAGTGAAATTTACATTGAAAACCTAATGGGTTATCGCTTGGAACATTCTAAACTTACAAGGGAGCACTGGCTGCTATCAAGTGACTTAAAATGACAATCAAAGGAAAGCAGTAAACAAACTGGTAAGGAGTCTTTGGAATACAGAGGAGGGTTGTAACATATCCAGGCTAGAACTTCAGGAGACAACCTAAGATGGCTACTGGAGCTCATGTCTGGGAGGGTTCGATACCGCAGAGTGTCTCAAAGGTCAGAGAGAGAGAGAGAAGGTCGAGAAAGGTCAGCTAGAGAGGGGGGGGAGGACTACTCACACTTCCTTGTTTTTTCACGAGATCATCGAGTCTCTGTTTGGACGTTTTGTGCCAGATCAGGCGGCCGTCACTAGCTACAATGGTGACCGTGCGGCTCTCCGTAGGCTGCCCAAGTTTGCATGTGGTCCGAGATTTTCAAAAATTAGGGCTTATAAGTTTTCTCCATTTTTTAATTTCAAAACTTGTTACAATGTTGTGAGGGCACACACAGCACGAGGATGTCTTTTTTAAAAGGTGTGTTCCTGTTTTTGTTAGTAGGGGTAAGTTTTGGAGGGTGGTGAGAATGGGGTATGGTCTGATCACTCCATTATTTGGAAACAGGTGCAAGGACTCTGACAACTGTGTGTAGTGAATACAACCAAGGTAGAAAGCTCAGAAGACAAAACACATGCAGATATGCCACAGACATGTGTCACACTTTCCCCTGTACAACTTAATATTCTTTTGGTTATTAACACAGGTGTCAGACAAATTATTTTAAAGAAAGACTACTTCAGGGTATTTATTTTGATCATGCAGCATTCAAATAGAAAGTCTTGGACTCTAGAATCTCCAGTGGGTTATCCAACACTGACATAAGGAAAAGTAAGACTCTGGGTCAATTCCAAACTGAAGTACGAATCTTAAGCTGGAACGTGTGATGACTTCACTGTGATGGTCGTCAAATGCACAGAAACAGTGATCAAAGTAGTGACTGGCCACACGGAATGTGGATAGAATCGGTGACTGGTGGAAGGATGACGGGCACACTGAAATCGTTTTCAGATAATTGTCAGAAAAGCAGTGTCTGTAACAAAGACAGAATTTCTCTTGCTGGATGGAATCTTTTTTTGACTTGCGGATAAAAGATAAAAATGAGATGAACCAGAAGCTTCAGAAACCACTAATTCAATATGAGATTTAATTTAGTACAAATTGTATAAAAACACCAAATATTTATGTGCAAAAGACTTTTTTTTACTGAGGTCACACACCAATGGTCAACATTTCCTTCCAGTGTATTAGAAATCTAAATTTAAGTTAATTTGAAGTGTGAACAAGAGTGCATGCTTTGCTTGAAGGTGAGGGAGACATGATTTTGATTTCTCAACACTCCACAGCAACAAATGAAGGAAAATCAAACAAACAAAAAACATGCTGATCAAAATGCACTTTAAATTCAGTAATTAAATGTATTCAGGCTTGTTGCAACAATTGAAAGTGAATTTCTGGTAACTTCAGCTTATATTGCAAAGCAGCTGTTTATAGGGTACCAAAATAAACCAAGAACTATTCGGTCATAAATTCAACCATTAATTGACATGTCTATTTAACATTTTTGATTGACAGAAAATCTTTGGTTGAATGATTAATCCATCTAGACCAGTAACCTTGATAACCTGGGTTTGAACCACACCTAACAAGCCTTTTGAAATTTTCTCAATCAAAATCAGATAGCATTATGCAAATGTTTCAGCCTAAACCAGTGGGCTTGATGAAAGTTCCTCAAGATGTGACCAACAATAGTTTTGCTCATACTTGCTCAAGAATGTAACTTTACGGATCATCATTTTCATGCTTCATATTATCCTGGAAGGAGGTGGCACACGGTATCATTTGTGATACCACAGGAGACAGATCTGTGGACAATACACGAGTCTGTCTGAAATCTATTCAGCATGTGCCATGACGACTGAGGTCTCTTATTTATCTCAGACCTTACCGACTGTGCATCTTTCAAGTTGCTCCTTGTTTTGGGACGCAGGAGGCCTTTCGGTTTCTTCCTTGTGTCAAAAACAGCACGCTTGTAGACCATGATACCCAGCTTTTGCATCAGATAAGAGACAAAATTATCACATTAAGAGCACTACAAAGAAATTGTAAAGTTTAACCCTGCAAACCTGTCTTGAATTAGGATATAACAACCCACAAAAGCAAAAGCCTTTTGCACTTTTAAGGGAAAAAGTGTCAAGAAAAAATTTCTCTTCATTTCCACATGAAAAATATCAGCACATTAGAGACGAACAAAACTAAGTAGTACGCTACTTCTCACTTTTGTGAATGTTATTTTCATTCCCTTTCTGTGATTGAGCAACCTTGATCATGACTGAATTACAGCTCTTCCTGTTGGTTCAGTTTGCAGGTTAAGACCCCCCACTCGGCACAATACACACCTTGACGGCAGCCTGCCTGAAGACGATTTCAATCTCGCTGCTCGGTGGCGCCGAGCTGATCTTCTCCAGCTGACTCAGCTCATTGACTCTGCTCAAAGCACGGCGCGCAAAACTCTACAGCATGAGAGTAAAAAGCGGCACATTCCACAAACTAAACCACTGTCAAGTGCCTACTAAAGGTCCGTATAAAGAAAAAATGCGACCGAATCCACCGGTCAATGTAATTACACTGGTACTCAATTAAAACGCATCAGTTTTCTCATTCTTTTCCATAGTGTTTTACCCCAAGTCTTTGTAATCACTGATAAATAAATAAACGGCCCAGTGTCTGCTAAATCCTTTCCCCTCAACTCACCTTGAGAAAAAGAAGCGTCAATTTGTTTTGGAAGTACCAACTTTCCAAATAGTTTATTGGTGTGTTTTTGCTGACTGTACTCTGGTATGTGTATTTACCCTGAGCAAGGCTCTTAACTCAACTCTTGACACTTGATTTAATCACGTTTACAATGGAAAAGTGTGCTTCAAGTTTACCTCGGCATGCTGGGAAGCCTTGCAGTCATAGTAACACTGACACACTGCCGTGTAGAGCGTGGTCCTCCACGACAGATAACGGACGGACAGGAGGGGCACAGAATGCTCCATACACATGCAAGCCCACAGAAGGAACTCCAACACCTGTGAGGGTGTAGAAAAACCCTGGTGTCATCGCCTCATTCACGGCACTGAGAACAGACTCTTTACTTTCTCCCAGCCCAAAAGTTAACAGGGCGTACCTCAAAGAAATTTCCTTACAGCCCGAACAACGAGAAATTATTATCAAAATTGCAACATTTTGCCTCGGAAAAGATTCCCCCAGGATCAAAATGTCAAGTCCTCCACCTTTTCAGCATATGAACAGAATACTTGAGCACCAGTGGTTGATCTGCCAAACTTTAACAGGGGGAAACATGCTTTTTAATACCATTTTTTTTCTGTGACCACACATTACAGATCCACAGTGAAATCCCCGACAGAACTTGCACCAAGGCTGTCCTATTCATCCTGCTATATGCAACAAAAGTCAGCTTGGCTGAAGGAAGAACACAGCCGAATGCAACATGTCACAAGGGACTTTGTTGCAATAAGTTATGTATTGGTCAAACATTGGCCTCGGAACTATGCAGAACCATAAAACCTTGTAAAATCCAACAATATATGGCAGGTTTAAATTACTGTGTGGGTTTATTGTAGTTTGTGGGTTCAGGGGCAATTATTTAAGAGAAACTGAAAATACGATACCTTTGCTGAGTGGCCAAGAGTCATCAAATGCCTTGACACACTGTAGATATGAATTGTTCCTGCAGAGAAGACATGGAAAACTTCTTGAAATGTGAATCATAGCAATTACACACTACTGGCTTCAAGTTAGAATCCTTGACATAGAAAGAAAAAGAATTCTGAACTTCTAATTTGAGTTTTTCCTTTATGGTGCAGAAAAAGGGGAACATGGTGGTAAATGGAAAAATGCTGCTCTGTTTAAGTCACAGCCAAAGATAACAGTTTTAGAAAATTACGATGGATTTCTGAGCTAAGGCAGTCATCCTTTCAGAGCACTGAGTGCACAATTTCCGCCTGATTTTTTTTGAGCCACCTACCATTGAAGACCAGCCAGCACAGAGGTTCCCTCGGCAGTACCACCTGGGTGATGAGCCTGAGGAAGGCCAGAATCTTGAGGCACAAGCTGACCGACTGGGTGTTCTGCAGCTTGGGGTCGGTCAGCAACACCAGCTGATAGTTGCAGATGCTCTTGCCGTACAATGCCCGAAACTGGAGAGGAAAAAAAAAAAAAGCAGTGGACACTTGCGACCAACGTGCGACAAGAATGATCCTGGCTAACAGAGGCAGGCCTGAATGAGGTAATAAAGCCCTTGAATGCAGGAAATTAGATATATGTGATCAAGGTTCATGTTTCATCATCAGAGAGTCTGGGGTTCAAACCAAGCAGTTGGTCCCATCTACAGAAGCATGTAAACAGGTAACGGCACTGGCTGGGGAGTAACCTGTAACAAACTTGCATCCCATCAGGGGAAATTAATAAGAGTTATCTCAGTTGTTTATGCTTCTGAAACTGAAGATAATTTCGGCTCCGATGGGCCATATTGGCTCGTGACAGCCTTGACTTTACTTTAGAATGCAAGAAATAGCACCCAGCGGTGTTCCTGCCTCAAGGTTTCAGGAACTTACTGTGAGACTAGCATTGTCTGTTTCAAGACCATCTGGGAAAAAGATCTCCTTCACTGTGTTGATGTCGACAATGTCTTCTATGTGCTGATCACCAAACTGGTCCAAGTAACGCCCGTAGCACTGCCACACAGCCAAGTTGTACTCCTAAGACAGGGGACAAATAATTTCCAAGACAATTTTTCCAAGACAATTGAATCTTGCAACAAACATCTTGAGACACAAATTTTCTTGTAAAATATGGTGTTTTTTAACCTATAAATTACAGGCTGTAGCCATATCCATACAGACAGCATACAACAACTTTTTATGAGTTACATTACTATAAAATGATTCGCAATTTGAAAAAACAGCTTTGTCCGTCATTTCCCTAGAAGAGAAGACTCCGAAATGACGCCACATCAAGTGAGCTTTGAGCAAGGTTTACAGGCTATGTTCAGACCTGGGAATTTAACGATACAACTTTTGCTCAGGAAGTTTACCAACTCACTTTGATTGTAACCAAGAAGTCTCCCATCTGGATGACCTTCTGCTGGTAATAGGTCGTCGGAAGACGCCCCTCATAAGAATTCCATAAGGTGAACAAGGTATCAGCTCTGAATAATTAAGCAGTGTAATGTAACCAGAAATACTAAGCTGTTGAAACAGTGCAAAGTGAATCAGTACAAGACCTCCAATATTTTGATGTTGTCCATAGCCAATCACTGTCTGATAAGTATGGTCCTTCTGTAAAAACTGTCTGTTTTGAGTAACTACAGTCATAACTCCACAGAGTGTAAATGAAGAATGCTTATGAGTGCAGTGATAAAACCGATTTCATGATGTGGTCAAGGGAATCTTCAATTCAAGGAGGAGAAGCTAAATGGAGTCTTACATTTTCACCAAATGAGTTATTCTTTCAACTGTACAAATGTGAAGCATTCATTAAGCTTATAATACAGTGTATTTCTTTCACAAACCAGCTGCATTAATAAAAACTGCATTCCCTGAGTAAATTGTGATTACAATCATGCAGACGTGTGAAAGGCTATTACTGTGATGGTCAATCATTAATTAACCCTAACCCACCTCAATCCTCCAAAATCCTCCAGGTGGTTTTGGAGAATTTTGGAAGATTCAAGATGAATGATGACTCAAACATTGAAGGATTTAGGATGAATGGTGATTGAAGCATGGAAGATATTGGAAGACTGAGGAAAAATAGTGTTTTAAAGGCTGAAGGATTTTGGAGGATTGAGGATGAATGAAGTTTTGAAGTTGGGCAATTGGAGGATTCAGGAGGATTGAGAATGTGCCCGAGTACAAATGCCCTAGTGGGTTAGGGTTACCAGTATAACTATGAAAATGGATGGTTGATACGTTGAGCATGTTAAAAAACTAAGGCACACTCCAAGTGCCTTCTACTCATGGGGTAGGCCCTGCAAATGTCTGGGAGGGTTTGACGTTTCACCTGAATTTGACCGACTTGTTTGAGTTACGGATTTGAGCGTTTATCGTGCATGTCAACACTTTACTGTTTAGTTCTTTCCCAAAACAACAGGGCAGTAGCCCATTCCAAGGAATGTCAGACAACTCAACCATTTACCAACTTGACTCAGGACAACTCGACCCTTGAGACAACTCGACCGGTGGGACAACTCAACCGTTTACCCAGTCATCTGTTAAGACAACTCAACCGTGCAAGGCTTGAACACGACAGGGTGTGGGACATTTTAAAGATCAAGTGAAATCAATGTGTTTGGGCCACTTTGCGTGTGTAACATGACCTGGCGACTTGACTCCCTGGGCATGACATGTGCAGGGAACAGGCAATGAAGCAAGTACAGGACTGGTGGTCAGCTGCCCTAACCAATGCAGTGCAAGGCTGCAACAGTGATACAGCGTACACCATGGTGGAATGCACCATCCACAGTATGCCGGTGCCTGAACTGATGATCAGTTGCTAGTGTGCCATTGTAGGAGAAAGTAGCTCTACTGGGTGGAGTGTTAGTAGCCTAGTCCTCATTTTCAAATTTTGTATTGGATTGGTCGTACTGATCCAAAACAAAATTAAAAAAGGAAGAGTATTAGGCCTAATGCTCTGCTCAGTAGAGCTAGGGAAATAGTAAATTTGTTCCCAACAAGGGGAAAGCTTGTTTCTTTTATCTTCCTCTCTCTTTTTTTAATCCGGAGGAAAAGTGCAGGTAATGTGGCTGTAAAGTGCATGTGCATTTACGTACTTATTACGAGTCAAGTTGTACTAACCACTTGACGCCAGGTGACGTATAAACACACACACAAATTTCTTATTTGTTCCACGAAGGACGTTGTACACTTGTTTTAGAATTCTTTTTTTACTTTCGCGGTTGACATATTAACGTGTTGTGCTTGGTTGGGTCAAAGTGCAATTGCAAGGTTGAAGAATTTGGGGATAAAAAACCTGTCCCCAGCAGCTTTTTAGGGTAAGAAACTGGTTAATTTGTGGAGCTGTCTATTTGAGGCACAGTGACAGTCATGTTGTCCACTGCACTGCCGGTATCAGTGCCACAGGTTCAGAGGGCACATACACACTTCCTGCCAAAACTGATAGGGCTACTACCTGACTAGGTAGGCCGACCCCCCAGAACTGTGGGGCCCTTGTTTACAAAGGGTTTAAAAATCACATAACATATTGAAATTAATGAATAAATAAATGAACATCTGAGGGTGAAATAAGTAAAACTTTGCGACCGTGGTGACCTGCATGTCTTGGGAATTAAGCTTAACGTGAGGCATAATTTTAGCCCTTGGGACTACCACACAGGCAGTTGCATGTCCGAGAACCGGACTGTGGACAACCAACATACCCTCGCGAAAACGCCTCGTCATCTTTCTTCTTGTATGCTGCAGAGGCTTTCTTTCTCATAAACTGTAAGAACAGTTTATACTCTTCCTCAAATGCATTTATTACAGGATTTTTATCCCCGCTGTAGAAAGTAGAGGACGGTTGATTGATGGACTGTGCAGCCTTGTGCTGCAATATCACCGCCATCTTGGAAACCCTTTGCAGCAGTTGCTATGGTCTGTTCCACTATTTAAAAAGGGGGCAGTCGTCTATGTAAGCCTGCGGGAGGGCAATATTATATATCATTCTCTGCTGAAAAGGATAAATGACTGTTTTTAATTTTAGGCTTAAAAAGAAGTAGAAATTTCTTACAGATATTTGGTATGGTTCATCAATAGATATTGCAATTAATAATATGTGTTCTTTCTATTTACTCTGTTGCTAACATCGTTGACCTCCACTGCAATTATTCTGTGTTGACCCATCAATCAAGAAAGTTTCCGCAGGGCCGGCTGCGACAAGCATTATTGGGCTAGCATTAGCAAGGGTCAGCTGGCAGTTATAAGTCGTACTGCCGCGCTGTAAAATTTTAATCCCCCTTTCCCAGTCTTGAATGCAACGGGTAGACAACAACACCGCCATTGAAACTGTTCTACTGAAAAAGCTTGCTGCCGAAAAAATAAAATATCACTAGGAAATGCAGCTTTCCTGCTGATCTCGGACGTTTCCAATAATTTCAAAACGCTATTTCCTCAGGTACATGTCAGAAGTGCTAGTTTCATCTCCTGTACTCTCACTGTAGGGCACCCAGTTCAATATTGGTTCACTTCCCCTACCCTGGAAAAAAATCAGAAAAAACTTTTCGTATTTTTATCCACATTCTTAAAGTATCTCCAAGAATTTCAATTGAAATTCAAATTCCTGATAAATTTGGGACTTCATTTTTAACTGCAAGTTTATAACTGATGATCCTTTAACGTCATTATTTTCAAGATTAATGTGACTAGAGCAAGAACTTTTGAACAGGAGAACATTTCAAAGCTTGTTTCTCTCATAATTTAATTACATTCTATTTTTAAGCACACACCCTTACAAAATTAGAATTAATTTATAGAAAAATGGAATGCTTTTTTTAAATAAAAAATCTGAAAATTTAAATGTATAAAAGCAAACCCGGCTACAAGCGAATTAAGTTACAATGATTGTAACTTTGGACAGCGCAAATGTTACACAGTTGAAGGGACAAGCAACTTCGAACATAAGGTATCATTATACATTTGCTGTTGCCCACTACTTGCAAAGTGCGACTGCGGAGTGTGAGTGGTTTTTCCACAGACTAGAATGAGACAATTCTCTGTAGTAAAAGGAGAAGTAAACGTGTCAATACCTTTGGATTAAATGTGTTATGCTCCGTCATATTTAAAAATATGCCCATAGGGCAATGGTTGATAACAGAAATTGGGTGTTGTCCTTTCTGCTCACAGATGGAAACTTTCTAAGATTTTTCTTGGGTTAACAATATAACACTGCACACTGAATTCTGAGTAACAGTGTGTGTTGTAGGGCTGCAGTCGAGTCCACTGCTTGTCCTCAAAAATCTCCAGAAATCCATCGCAAGCCCTTCAGTCTGAAGCCTGGCAAGGTATTCAAATGATTGAAGACAAATGCATTTCCTTGTCAATGTTTATTGTTGTAAACTTGTGACTGGTCTTGTAACTGGACTTGACGCAAACTTGATTACAGCCCTGCCTCATTAACAGTATTTAATAATTTAAATTTTCCCTGTGCCAAATCCTGATTCTATGAGAATTGTTCTTTACTGGAAATTTCAAATACTGGGCTGAACACTTAGATGTGCATCAGTTCGCACAATCTGTACCAATATCTGTTCATAACAGCTGAATACTGATAGTAAACACAGTGGGTTCTATCAAACTACAATGTATCAAAACACATGAAGTTGATAAAGACAATCTCGTTGCACCCAGTGATTTTACTGGATAGTTTCTGTGGTTCATATTTTGAAGGTATTACAAAATAGCTGTGTTTCCCTTTCATCATAGGATGTAGCCATTCTATATCATATTAGAAACTTTTTCCTGCATTTTAAGTAACTATTAGCAAAATCTTCACACAAAATGCCATTATTTACAAAAATTTTCAAGTACCCAAAATACAAATTTACAATTTACAAATTGTTGTTTACTCCTGCAAATTACTCAAAAATAAGGAGTGCAGTAGATAGCAAAATATGGGCAAAAAGTATCAGTTTACATAAAGCCGATTGTTTTTCAAAATGTCTCCATCACATTTTGTCCAAAANTAAAAGGAATGTGTAGTAATGTCATGTGTTCAGTATCTTATGTATAGGTATTCATTATGAAACATCTTAGATACACATCGATTACTTTTGAAAACTTGATATAAATTGCCTGATGTGACAGTCCAGGCGGCAATCTGCAAATGTCATTACATGTATATGATTAGAAAAATCCTTGACCGTACCAATTATCAAGGGACGGAGACACCTACATGAAAAAATATTTCAGTTAAATTTGGAACACAAGTCAACCACTGTTGTCAAGTAAAATCTGCGCTTAAACAAATCCAAATTAAATGTCTTGACACTTGATTACATTCACTGTAATTGCTAAACATGTTTTCATTCAAGCCCTTATCTCCCCCGTGGGATGGGGAGTTTTGGCCTTCTGTCTGGCATACTTTCCTTCCACAAGAAAGGGAATTCAAGTAAATATGGCCGTGCATGGTGCATCTGTGAAATTGTGCATATTCCCAGGTCTAATGTCTGACAAAAATTGTCTGCCCGTATATTTACCAGAAGTGGTAACGTCCATCTTTAGATTAGAGTTTAGAGTTGTGAGGAGTTATATTGGACTCAACCAAAGCACTACTGATGCAACCAGCAAGATTTCTCGTTTAAGAGCTTCCTTTTTAGAACTTGTACGGAATGTATGAGTGCATACTACATGTGTTAAAACCCAACCACTAGATTCATTCTGCCATAGGGGCTTCAACTGGGGCAGATTGTGTGAAGGAAGAGCTTGCATTCACTGTGGAAGCATTACCCAGCGGTCTGGTGTCCATACTGGCGTTCATGCTGACTGTACTGGACTGATTTAGCTCAGGCCGACTCTCCGTACCCCAAGCAGTAGACTGGCACACTGTGCCTTTTGCCGTTGTCTGTGGGGGCCTGGGCTGAAGCGGCTGGCTCAGCTGTCCCTGACTTGCTGAGTTAGTCTCTGCTCCCTTGACTTCAGGGAATACACCAGTGGCAGTCTTCGGCCGGGGCCTCTCCAAATTCAACTCCATTGTTTCGGTTTGGGGGCGGTGCCAATTCAAACAGTCCGCGACGCTTGCGCGGAAAAGTGGGGCCGATCCAGTTCGCGCCCTGCGGAGTGGACTCATGGATACCTGCAACTTGGGCCTGTCATATATAGATTCTATTCTGGGGTTGATGTAGGTGTTTGACTTCTGTAATGGGACGGGGCTCTCGTCGACTTCCCCTGTGTTCATGTTTGTGTATACTCTCGGATTGGGCTGTTGATGCCGGTGAGTGAACTGGTACGTCGTGACCGATCTTTCCTGAAGCATCTCTGGTGGGTCTGAGTAAGGCGTTTGGAGGAAAGCCGGGGCAGATGCGGAGAGACACTTTTTGGGTTTTGTGACGGCAGGAACAAGGATCTGAGGAACTCGGTTGGCCTCGGAGTTCCTGAAAGTCTCTCTGTAGACAGAAACGACAGGGCCACCTTCCTTGATTTCTTTTGCATGTGGTATCCAGGCTATGAAGTCTGGCTGGAACTTGCCGGTTCTTTGGTGATGAACTTTTTTCTTGCCCAAACCCTAAATAAGACAGGAAAACAAGAACGAAATTTGCATAATTAATTTCTTGCTTGAATCACAGATGTGATGCACATGATGGTCTCATAATCAATGTCATTATGCAATGCACAAAGCAGCAGAAGATGAAACTCCTCCCTAATTTTGCGATGCTTCCAATCCTCCCCCATGAAGCTCCATCCATTTTAATAGGCTGAGCAGTCTCACGGACGGACAGCTGACAGCCATTTCATTGCACCGGCCGTGTTGAAACTCAACAAGACACTCATGGAACTTACATCTTGGAAAGAGGTGACCGTATTCAAAAATGAAAAGCGGTTGTCATGGTGAGAAAACTGGTGAGCTGTTGGACGTGTCTGTGATTAAAGAAAATAACAAAGAAAGAAATAATGGAAACAGTCACTGTATACATACATGTACATGTAATGCCAAAATCAGTTATCCGTATCAAACAAGCACACAGTTCAAATGTGTGATTTTAATACCAAGCAGAATTGTTTGCTATCTTATCAATGTTCTATTAAAAGAGGTTCTAATTGTTTGTATCATTCTTGGGGATTATTTTTTAGTCTTTCAGTAATGGAATAATGATAACAAAAGCAGATCAACAGCAGTAGATAACTTGATAACCTCAGGAAGTAGAACGAGGCTAATCAAGTTACTGGTTGAGAGGAGAAGTAGCTGAGACCAGTACGTTTTGGTAATCGTCCGTGAACAAAACAAAATAAAGCTGGGTGGCTTCAGTAATTTGATTCATGAATTTGTTTTCTCAGGGCTTAGCATCCATGGCATTTAATAGCTTGGAAAATGGCAAATCACTTCAGCTTCCCCACAGCACAGGAGAGGAGAGCCTGCACCTGTTTGTTTGCTGGCTGGTTCATTTGGTACACATAGGAGCCCTCTGGGCCTTTGTCAATATTTATTTAGGCTCCGTTCTGAAAGGGTTCGTGTTCCCATGTGTTCCCATCGCACCCTATGCCCCCTCTGATCTTGTGACTAATCAATTGACCCCAGGACCCTGGTTACAGATAATTTGAAGCATTTGTTAATATTGCACTCTGATATGGACAAGGGATGATTCATTCTTCGTGAAAAAAAAAGGAATTTTGGAGCTAAAATGTACATTTGTTCTATTACAAATTTCCAAACCAAAGGAAGCTGATTAGTTGATGGAATGGCCATTAAGTTGAAAAAGGTCCAGCTAGTGGCATCACTCTAATGTGTTTGTGTTTAAATCATGGAAGAATATCGAGCCTGCTCTTTTATTTGACACCATTCTCATTCAATCAATTCTTCCACACAGTTTGTATTCATGTGTGGTCGATCACCATAATGTTCTATTGTGCGTCCCTAACAACTACATGGCACCAACAAAGGAGAACATGTCTGTGACATGGATCAATAAGTGAAAATCAATACTTGCTGCTCAGAATATAAGACAATTGTACACTTTATGCAAAACACCAAAATTATCTCTTTGGTGTGACTTAAACACTTGTATATCTACACAAACTGCTGTGGACGGAAATCAAAATTTCAACAAATATCAGAAATCCAGGGAGCATGAATTTCTTTCTGGTCTCCTTCAATTTCAAAGAGGTTGTACGTGGACTTAAAAATTACAGGATTTTTAATCTATTGTTGACAACAATTTGTAGATTCTTGACTAAAAGTAGAGATGAATGGCCCCAAAGCTGTAAAATTTCTAATGAGGCTTGTTCGCGCTTTGCGAGAGCATGAAATAAGAGTGTGTCTCATGTCAATAGGTATCTCCTCACAATGATGTGACCACCATCATGATTTACTTATGTCCAATTCTTAACAAGTAGGTACTTACATGAATTGACATTTTAAAGCTAATGACGTTAAAATTGTCAAGATATCTATCGTTTAATCTAATCTGCTTGCATATTTCATTGCCAACAAAATTTCAAAACATGTTTTCCAGCTCTTTACAGTTTTCTAAATCCAAAGTGTAAATTTATCCTTTTCGCTTGGTCAGATACATGTACGTTTGAGAGTGTGACGTTATTTGACAAACTTTTACACAACATCATTACATGTCATTTTGTGATGCAATAAGACAAACTGCACTGGCCAAATATAATGGGAGTTGCAAGTTAGGTGGAAAGAATGCCCAGATCCTGAATAGCCTCAGAGAGAAAGATGAAAACTTGAATGGGGCAAAAAAGCCAATTGGAAAGAAAAAAAAACCAGAAAAGGACTATAAACATACCTGTAATTTTCTGCAGAATTTTTCTGGGGGAGACGGTTTTGCTTGTTGTCTGTACTCGTTGACAAAATCATTTCTGGATTTACTCCTGAAGTGACCGTAGTAACCGGTGGGGAACTGTAAAGTAAATATTTCAATGCTTAAAATTCTAGTTCAATTAACTTAGGCGGATTTCATATGTTTCACAGGTCACCTGAGACAGGATTTTTTTTTTACAAACACAACTTGTCATATAGACATAAATATCACTGGCAGAGATCCTGTTTTAACGTAATATATAATACAAAGACACAGCTAGATATCAAATGTCATATTGCACATAATTAGTACAAATTTTCTTCACTACAAAGGAAAGAATGCCTGAATAAATTATTATTATTATTAAAAGTATGTAAGGCATGATCCTGTATGTGTGCTCTCAATTGATTGCCGCGTTTTGTCAGTTGATTCTGGATAAAATATCCTTTTTCCTGTTTCAAAGCAATCTCAGTTACTGACGTTTCTGAAAGAAAACATGATCGACTGATGATATCAGGAGTGAACAGATTTTCCACAACACAGTTGAGCAATGTGCAGATCTTATGATTATGCCCAACAAATCATAACAAATAATCAAAAAAGTATAACCCCAAACAATGCATTGCGACCGTGTTAGAGAGTCAGAAAAAAATTAAAATTTCTTAGCAATTTACAAAATATTTCAGGAGATGTAATAACCATTCGAAATACTTTGTCTTGCTTACCAGATGACATTCAAACAATGTATTATCAATAAATTCACGAATATCCTGGAATAAAATGCTGTGTCAGCGTGTGTTGCTACTCTACAAGTTACAACACCACGCTTAAATTGGTAAATCACGCCATTTTGGTGAACGCTGATCCTCAGTGAAGTCCTACACCACACGCTCCACATAATGCCGTGGCGTCTTAACCACACGGACAGGACAACACATGAGCACACAGTACACGGACATGTACTGTACATTGTACATGTACATTCAACCGGGAATACACATGTACTGTTCATGCAGGCCTACATGTACTGTACAATGTACATGTACACTGTACTCACCCAACTTCCTTGCGTGATGTGCGTTGTCTTCGCCATCCCAATTTGTACCGTGTAATATCACTAAAACGTGGGGAAATCTAGGTCTTCAACTTGTCACCATGTCTCCAGTGAGGAATACAGCATCGACACGCCACTTCGTTGTAAAAGTTTTTGACCAAAGTTTCTTCTATTTACTGTTCACTTAAAATGAATCGCTAAATCGCGGCGCGCCGTTTCTAGGGGCTAACGATGTTGTGTACGGAAGTAAACTACGCGTCGTCAGTGTCGGCATGAATATGGATATCTTAATGATCGCAGCACCAATCAAAAGATCAGATGGGAAAAAATAGGCGGGGCCCTGCTAATAAAAGAGCGCACGCGCATTAGCAATAAACTTTCTGGCCTATTAAAACAAGATGGCGTACCGACAAAAGTGACAGAGTGCCTTTGGGTAAAAATGTAGATTTAAATCGCCATTGTAATTTGTAAGGTTTATGTTTTGTTCTCAGATGAATTATGATTCAGTTTAGTCTTTTTCTAAATTGTTTAAGGAAAGAATGTTTTGGGAGGATTTTGTGAGTGAAAGTATTAAAAGTATTTAGAACTGATGAAACTGTCGGCGTGATGTCGTCTGCTTTTTGCGAAACAGCAGCCGTTTCGCTGCTGCCAGAGCAGACGACATAATAAAGTAAACATAAAGGAGGCCAGAAATTTCATAATTTCGTCTCCATGCCATTAACATTAGGGTTTGAGTTACTCAAGCTAGCTTTGCCTCACGTTGCTGCTTGTTTAAGTGTCAGCATCCTTTCTTGTGGGCAATGGAGAGGGTGAAAAACTGTCGGTTTTGAACAAAAATCCATTTTGCCCATCCCCATGCCCCATCTTAAGACTAGATATGCCACTGTCCAGAGGTGATGCATTAGGCCTATGTGCTGTTTGTTTCGTTGCAAATTTAGATTGTAATATGAAAGAAGAGGTTTTTTCCTTTTGTGAAACAGTCATTTTTTAATTACAGGATTTTCCCAGGGTAGGAACTTGACAGGAACTTGACAACTTGAGTATAGGAACTTGACAGTTGGAAAAGTGTAGAGTCGCTGAATTTCAGGATGTTTAATAATCAGCTAGGTACCAAGGACCTTTACAGTACCAATCCATCGTAAGTTACATTTTTTGGTTAATTAGATCCTTTGCTTGTGATTTGGCATTGATTTAGAAATGATCGTTTCTTTCTACGCTGTGTCTTCCTTTTAAAAGTATCTTTACTATAACAGTAATTTCATAACCAAACAAGTATCAATAAGTTTGAAGAAATATTGCATTTTGTATTTCTCTTGTAAAGGAAAAAATGTCATCACAATTTAAGAAACCTGATTTTTTTTTATTATGTGTCTTGAATTCAATTATTTGGTTTTTTATAAAATTCTCAGCAAAAATTGGGTGATTGAACATTTTTAGTCAGTTTTTGCAGCGGTCAGGGTTGCGCAGTGACTATGAAGACTCAGCGTTCAACTCCTCACTGAGCCAAAGCAACTCACAGATAATGAGCTCACAGGTGGACAACTCCCAATCCAGCTCATTTGACATGTTCTCTCAGATGATGTCTCAACAACAGGGCTTCTCACAGCAAACAGAAGTACTTGAATTTTTCACTGTTATGTCTCTGTTCTTGTACTGTGAATCTCTCCTTAGGTTGGGGGACAGTTTGTTCAATTTGAGGAGTTTTGCATTGTGTGACATTTTATAGAGTTCATCTTTTAAATAAAATAAATTTCATTAAGTTTATTTACATGTACCACGTTTATTGTCAAATTAATTTCTATTGTTTCCATATGTGTTTGTTGCAGTGACTCGTAGTTATGAACATTTACTGAGAAGAAATATCAGAAATTGTTATGGATTTCAACATTATCGAGGAGTTCACATTTGACAGATGTTAAATGAAAAAGTGTGCTCTTGTCCTTGGATACTGTAGGTGTAATGGAAACAGAAAAGCACAAATGAAGATGGAGAAATCATCAATTTTGCAAGATCAGAGCTTTGTTTATTCTAATGGTTAATACATATCATTTAATCCCTACATTGAAATTATTCAGGTTAAACAGATATGTTTTGACCAAGTGTTGACTTTTTGCAATATTTCAATTTGAAATTGAGGTTTAATTATTTTCTTCAGAATTCAAATAACCCACAGAGATTCTACATGAAGTATATGTCAAAGGCCCCCCTGTTCAACAAGGAACCTGACAAAAATTCCTCCTCAAGAAAGAAAAGCTTTCAGGAACAACTAGACAGCAACAAACAGAAGGCCAAAGAAAGTGATGAAAGGTACACCAACAATTGAAATCAAGAACCATTTTTTATTTTGAGACTCTTTCTTCATAACTTTCACCTCCTACTGAATTAATTAAAGATTGCACATGCGCGTAGCTAGCACCCAGTTGTATTGGAAAAAAAATGAAATCAGCCACTTTCCTGTATGCGGTGGGAATAGATCACACATGCCAACTAAATCCAATTTCAAAGTTCCATCCAAATTTTGGAAAAAAAAGTTATGAATTATGACATTTGAAATAGTTTAGGAATGTTGAAAAATGCCTTTGAAGTCATTAAAGGGGAATTCATCACAAATTGCAGCATTTACATATGCACATGTTGTTCGTCCTGTCTTTCTCAATATAGTTACATATTTACCGTCTTCATAAATATCAACATGTCAGTGCTCTGAGAAGATATATGCCCTTCCCTTCATGATATAAATTCCAAGCAACTATTGTACTGTTTCTCATCACGCTATATTTTAAACTTACAGTGTTCTGTTATCATTATCTTTATTTACTTTTTCAGGGACTTAATCAACACCTTTATCAATCTTGTCAAGGAGTGCACTGAGGAAGTCAAGTCAGCTGCCACAGACATCAGGAAGGACGTGGACAAAAATCTCTCGGAGTCCGCCAGCCAGTTTGGCAGCCTCATTCAGAAAAGTAGGTCAGGCGGACAATGAAAGTGCCTCGATTTCGACACCTGTTCACGTGCAATGACGAAGCACTTGTGCAGGCATTGTCGTCGTCGCCACTGAACATTCACGAGCAAATCACATCCTCTCATAACATGCTGTGGCATTGCTTATGGTTTGCTTAATTCCATGCACACCCCCTTTTAGTGAATGCTGACTCCCTTGGTTTTTTTGTCTACGTGCTCTCTTGCAGTCAATGAAGACTTGAAGCATTATCACAACACACTGTTAGGTGCAGTGAAAGCCAGAGAAGACCAGAAGACTACTCTTGACTCAATGCAAAGGGACCTTACAGCTGTACGAAATCTCCTTGAAACCTCTCCATAAGTCATTTCAACTTAATGACATCCTAGCTTTTATGCAGTGGATTTTGACCCCCAAAGTTTTTTCACACTTGATTTTTGTGAGTCCGTTCTGTAAGTTCAGTATATTTCTAAAACCCTTTTTTGTTGAGCACAAATTTTACGGACGGGTTGGCAAATGTTCTTGAATTTCCTTTTTATTTGTTAACAACCAGTCATATGCTCTAAAAATTGAACACCGGACAAGGTCTTCAGTGTGGAAAGTCATTGGAAGCACTTTGAATTCACTGCATTAAGGTTTCTTTGATACTCATTTGTAGAAGGATGCCAAAATTGAAGTCCTTGAGGCACAGCTGGCTGCAGCCGATCAACAGCGTGATGACAGAGTGGTCAGCTCCCTGGTAGAAGCTTACACAGAGCAGCAGAAGAAGAACCGGGAGCAGATGGATAAGATGCAGGCAGAGCAGGAGGCATTCTGCAAGACTCAGCTAGCCAGCCTACAGCTGGACCAGCAGAAGTACATACAGAGATTGGAATCTGAGAGGGGGGCTGCAAAAGCTAGAGAGCCCCAAATGGCCATGGCTCGAGGAGATGACCATGGCAGTCGGCAGGCTGGGGTCAGCCTGATCCCATCTGTCACTGAGACTGGTCATCGACCACGTTCTTGGCAAGGTTGGCCTCAGTATCAGCAGATTGGATACAATGACCAGGTGATGAGAAGCTATCATGAGAATCCAGGCTATCAGGTGATTCCACTGCATTCTCAACCAAATAATGTCAGCATTGGCCCCGTTGTCATCCCAACCAGTGTATCATCTAGTAACCACGGCAACTGCATCTCACTCACCCCCACATCAGTTGCACTGTCAGTACCACACCTCCAAAACAGGGAGACATACCTACCAACAACTAACCAGTGCTATCAAGGGCACAATACCCATGACCAATCTTCAGTGAACCAACAAATAGGACCGGACATTCCATACCTGCAGACAGGCAGTAGCTCCAGCCAAGAAAACAGGCAATCAGGGCCTATCCTTCAGTGGGGAAATCAAGCTGCTCTGCCCTTGTTGTCTCCAACAGATGCTTCAAACCAGCATGGACCTTGGAACAAGTTGAAGCCATCTCCAGTGGCAGCCATTGCCCCTCAGGTAAAGCCCAGAGAAATTGTACCCCCATCACAACAACAGTGCAGTGATGAAAGCACAGAGGAAGCGATAATAAATGAGACTCCCCAGGCAGTAGCTACAAAGAGAAAGAAAGGACAAAAGCGATATCAAGTGGCTGTTAAGACCAGAAAGCAGTCCTCCAGACTGAAAAGCAAGCAGGGGAGCAAACCATGCAACAGGAGGACCAGTATGGGACTTGACCAAGAAAATCAGGTCATGCGTGAACAGCATGGCAAACAAAGAGGTGTGACGGTCCCTAGTGTGGATACAGTACAACCCCTGCAGATCAAGAAACTCCATCATCTATTGGAAAGGGAGGAAGATGTTTATGAGTTCAAGGAACAAAGAGGAAAAACAGTCTCTAATGCCAAACACAAACCACAGGGGAATCAAGATAAGAGAATTCAACAGATTTGGCCCTCAAGGGACAGAGCTGGGAAGGATGTACAAAGTAACAAGAACCCTTCAACAGTGCAAAGACACCTCAAGGAACAAAGCCAGAAGGTCCTCCACCCTGTACCCAAACATCCAATGCATTCCCAAGCAGTCGATCCTCTACCAAGAACAACAAAGAGGGACGTCTGCTCGCATACAGACTCCGACAAGGAAGCTGTGTCCGCCATCAGTAACAAGACCAAGGCAAAGGGAAAGGAAAAATCCTGTGTGAAGAGAAATATGTCATCAGAGGATGGCATATTCTCACAGTCAAGAATAAGCACCTGCACCAAGAGTCGGGACCTCAGAGGCGATGGCGCAAGATCATCAGTTGATGATCCTAAAGTCCAGAGGGAGAATGTGAAGATATCTGATGTCACGGTCGATGGAAACAGCTCTGACCAGGAGGAAGATGAGAGTCAAAGTCCAGATGAGGATGCAAGTCAGGAACTTTCATCTGAATATGAAACCAAGGAAGACAGTGAAGAACAAGCCAGGGAGCTGATTAAAATCCAAAGAAAAAACAAACAACCGGCCAAAAGGAAACAGCTAGGTAAAACTATGCTTTGTTTCAAATTGATAATAACATTAATTGTGAAAGACCAGAGTTCATTTCGCTCAGACTTGACTTTGAAAACAGACAGTTCATAAATCACAGTTTTTCTCTATTAATCAAAGTGTATTTTTTTCATTGTGGACAATTTGGTAAATCTTTCCCAACCATCTATTGCAAAGTTATAGCTACTATTTTCTATCTGTAAAGGCAGAGCACCAACAAAGTTGAAGGTGTGAGAGATGTGTTACATTTTGACGGAACAAACTGATCAACTTTATTACATAGGCATGCTTGCCAGCTCTCCCGAACAGCATTACGTTAGCCAGCTGGATACCATGCCATCCTACTCGGACCAGGAGGACAGCTCAGAAGAAATGATTTTCTCCTTGAAACTACCTGACTCCCCTTGTGAGTTCAAGGTTGAGTTGTGTTGATCCATTATTCCGCCTGCATAGATATTTCAAACCGACAACTTATTCACAATGTGCAGTTGATGCAGTAAAATTGTAACATAGCTGATGAGTATTTTGATACAACTGCCATATCACAGTGGAGATCATCTCAGAAGGACAGGAAGCATACTGGAGAAGAGATTAACCATCAAACTATTACCTTTATGGCATGGACATCGGTCCATTATCTCGGGCTCTTCCTTTATCCAACATTTTTGTTTTCAACAAATCAATTACCATAGACTTATAGAAATCTGCTTACTAACCTGTTCCTAGTTTTACGGAAGGCTGGCCATAACCAGACCGAAAACCCTCGGGAGAGAGAAGAGCAAGTTGTTCCCATGGTCAGGCGCTTTGACATCCTAAGTACCCCATACATCCAGGTGAACCGTGAGCGGGACACCGACAATGAATCAACAGGGACTGCTTACTCGGTCAGTGTAAGTTGTGACACAGAGCCAGTGGTATTGATGCATTGATTTTTAACAAATACTTCCTGTATAAATACCCCCCATCTCATTGAAAGTCCACATTGTGTGCATAATTAGGCGAGAGTGGCTGGCCAACTCTCAGATGTTGATACACTGATCAGGATCACAAAATCATGACACCGAATACTACTGACTTGTCATTCCTCTGCCTCTGCCTTAGCCCCTAGTTTTTTAAAATGTCTCCTCTTGCTATCCGAGGAGAATATGGACACACTCAGTGTTATCACTGAAAAAGAAAGTGCAATAGGATGATTTGCTGGCTGGTTTAATATATCCAGAGAGTTGAAAAGTATCTCCTCTTGAGAACACAAGTGCCAAGAATTTGAAGTCTTAAATTTATTTACTGTAGGTTGCAACAGCAACATTTCTAGTACTGGTTGTTGGCTTTGGGCTTGTTGATTCCCCAGGTGAATGCAGGCCGTAAACTGAGCAGGCATGCGGAGAGGAAACGACGGCTGAGTCATTACTCGGGATCCTCCTCCTCGGCGGCTATGTTAGAGATCACTAACTGCCTGAGACTGCAGCATCATAAGATCAGGCGAGTCTCCTCTTGCTGTTAGGAGCTCGGTATACCCCCTCTGTTGTTATTTGCTGTCGTAGCTTCATTAAAAGATTGTCAATTTGCTTCTGCCTTTGAAACCAATATTGTGGCTTGATTTTGTGGGCAGAAATTGTGCTTTTCTGAGGACATAACCCTCGAAAATAACCCATCCACACTCCTCTTTGAGAATGAATTTCAGTTTCAAACCCCCCCCACCTTCTGTACATTGTTCTTTTTTTTTCTTTAAATATTTTTACATTGTTAGTAGCGTTGTTTGTTCATTTGTTTTTTATTTGCAGAAATACTAGATCCTCATTTTCCAATTTCTCTCCAGGAGATACCAAGAAACAACATTTCAAAGATGAAAACGATTTCAGAAAAAAAGTCAGGTTGAAAAAGAAAGTGATTGAAACTGTCACTTAATTTAATGTGCTATAACAATAGAATAGAAGCTTTCAATCCATTTGTGGACAGTAAATAATAGGCTCCCATTTCAGACTGCATTTATACAAAGGAGTCGGAAAATAATTACATTAAAGTTACTGTTTACAATTCAGAAAATTCATATCTAAATTGAGTGTTTCGGTTTACTTTCTTAAATACAGTCGTATATTACAATCGTCTTATTTTACATGTTCCACATGACCTTGACAATTTCAATTTCAAATTAAAATGTTTTAAAAAAGTAGGTATATTTTTGAACAGAGTTTACCATATTTCATTACTTTCAATTGTCCAGTTTTTACATCTCAGTTTTGGAGTTCATGACATTTACCAGTATGCTTTTTTGAATACATGTGAAAGTATTTCGGATTTTAAGTATATGCCAAGTTTTGACAGTTGTCATTTGCATGGATTATTCGTTGTGCACATTTTGAATGTTGTTTTGCCTGTTTTCAAACCACTGATGAACACGTGTATGATGTCGGTGATACTACCAATCAATTTGGTTCACTGTTTTCATTTATTGTCATTTGAGATTTAAAATAAAAGAACATGAAGTATTAGTTACATAATGTTTATACTTTTATGCAATTTATGGAGTACATATAAGCAACTAACTCGTTGCGCCAGAAAAGATTGCAAATTTTATAACTTTGCAGAAGTTTCAAGTTCGATCTTGAAGCTCCAGATGTTCTTGTCTCTCCATTCCAAAATAGTTTACAGTGCAGTGCTTTACTTGCATCTAATTTGATAAAAACATGTAATTTGGTTATAGTAGAATGATATCTACGAGTTATTTATGTTGTACAACCACGCCTACAGTTTATTAAAGTGAATAAAGAGGGTGCCATTAATGCGTTGTACACATGCAGTCACAGGACGCGTACATCTACAATACGGGCGTTTCACAATAGTGTGCCTCCAAGAGTTTGTAACGCGTTGACCAATCACAGTGCGCGAAATTGAGAGTGGCATATCCAGGGAGATTTACACTGCAACAGACATTTGAACTTCACAATTTCAACGTATACTAGGAGGGCGTAGACAACTGTCTTTGCATTCTCATTTAAGGGTGTAGCTTTTTCTGGTAGTTTGTTGCTTAGAATTTACAAATGATCAAACAAATTGAAAGACTCCTCAACAATGATGAGTCTATGGTTGTACTGATCTTGGCATGGAGGTAGGAAACTATGGATTTACATTGGAGTTGCCACTAGGGTGCTCCTGTTTTTTTTCCTGAATAATTTGCAACCACTTTACGTTCCAGTTAAATCTCACCATCAAACACCTCTCTCGAAAAACCGGAAACACAACTTCGCAAGTAGAGAGTAATACAAACTTTAATATATACATTTTTTTCAGTTGTGAAAAAGGTCTACACAGAATACTGGACCTGAAAGACAAAGTGCTATTTTGTTCATTTTTACTCTCAGGTTTTATATTGAGCAATCTGCAAGTTTAAGCCTTGTTTTATATGTTATCAGTAGCTCACATTGTTTTATTTTTACTAAACAAAAGTCCTAATGCTTTGAAGCCCGAACTTTTAACTTTACTAAAGAATGTCAACTAAAAGTAAAAATGACCGTTCGTTTTATGGTTGAAATAATTATATGTATGTAGCATTTGCCTATTAAATTGTGCTAAAAAGTACACTTAGAGACACATAGTAAAAATCTAAACGATTTGGAAACGGAACCTTGGCCGAGGTCAATCGTTTGTTTTCTTGCTGACGCGTAGCCATCGTTATCATTTTTCCCGATGAATGTTGATTGCTACTGGGCCTGCTCAGAATTTGTTATCCTCTTTGAGATCTGTCAAACTGAAATGTAGAGAATTATAATTAATCAGAAAGACAGATTCTCGGTCAGAATATTTGACGCTGATGTCTTTAGGATGTGCTTCTTGGCAATATTTGGTCCATGAAAAAAGCATTAAAACTACTTTGAATAAAAGTTGTACAAAACACATATACGATAAGGCCAAGAAGATTTGAAGTTGTGTTTTAGCGACGTTGTAAATTACCCGAACGACCCCATCAATGTGAAAAACAACAAAGAGTATAGGCCTATTGAACTTGTGATACATGGGATTCGTGTCTCATTGCAGCTAATTTAAAAACGCAAAACGGGGAGAAATATTACCAACAATAAATAAATAATATTTAAAGTATCACCTTCTAACTAGTGCCACATCGCCTAAGCTTTCGATGCCTTCTTGACCCGGATTTGTTTCCCTCCTGGTAGTCCTCGCTTGTACATCTCCGGATCCTCGACCATTCTCCTGTAGCGCTTCATCCTGGGAGCCCGACGGAACGGATCGGATCGTCGGCTCTTGAGCCGCATGCCCAGGTCGGCCGGGTTAATCAGGCCGGCGTGGGGCACGGCGCGGCGGGCGCGGCTGTCGGCCACCGCTGGGGAATGTTTGTCTGGGGCTTGTGCCTGTGAATGAAGACTAGGGTTTTAAACAGAACGCACTGTTCCTATATTCCAGTGAAAAATAAAGTTACGCATAAACAGTTCTTCAGTGTCTTCAACCTGCACAAGGAAGCTTTCATTAATTCAGGAACTTTGTAGACATTCCCAGGATTAGATATCGTCCATTAAGCTTTTAATGTGGGTTTTTGTGTCTCCAAACGGCTGATTGGCCACTTTTTGAAATATAGGTTTACGTGTGAATGCAGTTCATCTTAAAAATCGTCGTATACTGTAGTAATGATTTTTACAGTGAATTATAATAGTGACTTGACAATTCAATGTTAAATGTTATAATTCACTGAAAAAATCCCATTTTCTGTTCACAAAATAATTTGCAATTCAGGACACAGAAACCCTAGATGAGATTTCATTAACGCTTGAATATACTTCAATACAGGTGCAAGAACGCAAACACCGAAGCAAAATCCACGAGTAACAGCTAAAGGTTCTATAAGACTGCCCGCCTCGAGTAGAACCCCCCCCCATTGGTAAAAAAAAAAACCCAAAAGCCGCGTTGGTCGGGAGTGTTTAATTTGTTGGTAGTAACGCAACCGTGACACATGCATTTCCTAGTCGTTCGTGAACCAGCAAAGTTCAGTTCCAACCAAAGGAGCCTCCGCTGTTAGGAAAGCAGCGCCATCTCCTGGTCTAGCTCGAGGCCCATGGTCATAGATTCTGTGATATTTCCCGATCAACTCATGCAAAGTATACTGGAAATTCAAGTCATAACCGTTAATTCTTGACGATATGATTCTGTGCAGTGGGGAAAATCCAATTTAAAAGATCATTAATTTGGGCTAATGGATCACTATAACATGTGACGCGCAGGACCATGAATCTCGTAGCTAATGAATCGTCCCGTCACCGGATGAGTGCATCTGTTTCTCATTGTTTGCTGCGTGGGTATTGCCATATTTCGCTCAAAACGGAGATCATAACCTGGAGTCAGCAGTAAGACGCACAAACCACGTTTCATTTGATTCCGAGGCGTATTTACCAACTATTCTATCCCAAAAGCTCGACATTACACATAATCTGGACACTAATCGTTCCTCAGCGTCTGATTCTATTTATTTGGATATAATTTTTGCGGCATTATGTTCTCGCCTATTTTATCCATACGTGGCCTTTTGGTTGCATCAAAATCCGTCGCACTTAAGGCCCTGAATAAAATGAAATAAAGAAATGCGTGTCATTTTTAAAATTCTGTTGTTAAAACGCCCTGACCGAAAATTTAAAATGATTTCATATTAAAGTTACCGAAAAAAGCAGGAAGTTTTAGATCTCTCTATCAACAAACTGTAATTTTTTTTACAAACAATAGTTTGTCAAAGAGTAAAACGCCAACGTGCCACGGTTTATGACTACGAGGAAAATTGATAAATTTAAGATACTACTACTGCAAAACATCTCCCGAAGGAACGCAATCTCTTTAGTGGCCGCTATGTTGGCAAAGCCATGAACATAAAAAGACAGTTGCTCAAGGATCATACCTTCACTCCATCGCCAACGACAACATCGAAGAGGAGGATAGTAAGAAGCAGAGCTACCGCAATATACCTCATGTTTGCTCGGCTTACGCTTACGGACGTGTGCAGTGCTTGTGGAGGAAAAACAAAAATGGCGTGGATGCGGTTCTTGTCGCGATGATGATGATGCAGCTTATATTACACAGCGTCATCTCTGCTGGTGAGGCCAAGAGGCAAGATAATGAGATGCATATTGCAACTAGGATGCAACGTACCGATCGAGGCTGTGAGTGGTTGCTACGAGGATCACGTGTGCTAATGCATGTACAGGTACTTATTTCACTGGCTGCGAATTTACGGGACTCTTTAAATCATTGGAACATTCCGGGTTCATTGCGAATGATTTATGCCTTTACTGGCGAGCACGAATTCAGGTTTTTGAAGACGGGAAATATCGAGACAGGTGGTTAACAAAATGATAGATGTTCCAGTAAGTTATAAATCAAAGCGTGACCCTAACAAGGTTTACAAGCCCGTGACGGTTGTTATTAGTTTTGACTGAGAACCCCGAGAGCGAAATTATTTTATCATGCGGTAGTGTCGATAGAAAATTCCACTTATCGTGTGGGATGTAGGTGCAATTCCCCAAGAAAAAAGCTCGAAAACTTCCTATCTTATTGAGGTAAAATATTGATATATCTAAGTACATGTATTTCATTTGGAACAGCGTTAAAGGCAGTGGTACAGTACTCCGACATCATTTTTTTACCCTTCAAAGTAAGCTTCATCTTATTAAGAGTGGGGGGGGGGGGGTTAACTACCACTTCAATATGAAAGTCATCGCCGTTTGGAAAAGGTTTTCAACTCATAAACTATTTTATTCACAATCTTTATTATCCACATTATAAGGTTAACATTTAAATATAATGATCATTTCTATTAACTGAACTGCCGTTATGGTATCTTCCCGCAAAGAACGAACATGCTAAGAATCTCCATCGACACTAATGTACTCACTTCATTCGAGTGGCAAAAATGTACATAAAACGTATACTTAAAAATAACTGTGCCATTCATAAACTTGTTTGACCTGACTTCAAAATAAAAGGAACAACATTTATGTACATTAAGGCTGGTCACATCATCCCATTAAAAAATGGCAGGCAGCTAATCACCGACGGCGTTTTCAGCGTTTCATCCGTTTCCATCGCTGATTGGCTGCAACCAAAGCCATGGGTGTGCGTCATTAAGATGAATGGAGAAGTATTTACGTCTATGAGCCGTAATGAAGATCGGCGCAGTGCTTCTCTTTTCAATCTGTCCTGTAGATCGTACTGTTTTCGCTTATTTCTCTTGTATTTTTGGTTGGCACAAAATTTTAATGGCTAATTTAGTGCCAGCACGCAAAAATACACTCGGCACTATGCCGATACACCCGTCACATATTATTTAACAGCACAAGTTATCTGAAACAACCTGCCGGAACAAAATCTGACATTTTATCGTGACACAGCTCCGTTAACAAAGAAACGAACATGAAATTGAATTGATATCGCCAGAAAAGACACGAACCACACGAAACGATCCGATAAATTTGCATATTACAAACTCTATCACCATCTTCATAAAAAAGCAAAAAGCCCCAACAACGGTGGGAGATGGAAGATTCTCGGAAAGGAAACGCCAATCAAAACAAGAGTGGTCAAAACACAATTAAGATTTGATTTCCAAACTAATTTCTCAAGTTTTATATGGTAAAATATCGTTAGGAACAACATGAATGACGAAGATCCACATTCTGTACACAGGTTCGTTAGTCTTGAATCCAGGCAGGGGCCACCAGAAGGGTCTTTGGTCCAGGGGCTCGCAAAGGGTGGAGTTAGCTGCCTTTGATTCGAATAAAGACCAACATCCCCGATAGATGATCATTAACTTCTCCAGAATGGCACTTGCTGTCCGGATTCAAGCAAATAAAACCCCGAGCTTCTTTTTTTTCTCAAAGGATTCGAACCATTAGCAATAACCTTGATCTATGTAAAGACATCACATCCAAATCTAAACACCCACATCACCAACATCAACATTTTTTTTCATACAAACATCATTAAAACACAGTAATGAAAATGGAATGTTTGACGATTCGCAGCCCAACGAGCGCTGTGTATTTCAGAAATGACACAATCTCGCCTGTTCCATGCTTAACCTTTTACCCGGGTATTTCAAAAGGGACTCCTTTTCTACTCTGTACTGCTCGCTTGGTGAAAGAGGTCGTAAGTAAAGATTTTGAAACATGTGAGATGCGACTGTCGCAAATCAGTTTCTGGAAAAGCATACAAGTTGCAAGTTTGAAGCATGCACAGTATATTCTTTTTTTAACCGCTTTATCCTTAGGCAACCACATAATTTCTCCACAATTTAAAACCGTAAGAAACAGTCCTCCTTTATAAAAAAAGGTACAAAAAACATCAATAGCCACAGAAGAGGGTTCGGATGTTCAGAAATGTGTTGGGATGATGTGCACCTAATTTGTTTGAAGGGTACAAATTGCAACTCGAAAAGAAGTCGGTTTTGAAATACCAGCGATAAAAGTTAAGTACTGGAAAAGATAATGCCATGTATCTTGAAAAATGTATAATTACAACCCTTATCAAAGGCGAGCACCCTGTGCAAGTAATCAACTAACGTCTAAGCAACAACTGTCTTCTCAATAAACTTTCATTTAAAATTAACCAAGGGAAAAAATGCCGAGAAAGGGCTCAAGTCAAACGCCAACACTGGAAACAACGATGCAAAATGTACAATTTCAACAGTCAAACTCAATAACTGCTAATCCTTGGGAATTACACCAGTCAAATAAAGTTAGTAATAAAGAGGAAGATTGAATTCTTGTGTACCCTTGGGAATAAAACTCTATATTTTAAATATGTTGATATGGGGCATTATTTTGATGTATTCTAACCTCGACCAATTTTCAGAAGAAAAGAATGCCGTGCTGGGGGGAATTTTGCTGAGTGGGAATGGGTTACCAGTCAGAAATTCTGTGCGGCATACTCTAGGCTAGTTGTAATTGGTTCACAGCCGATCTCTGCTTAACCCTGAACTGCTCAGCAATATTTCCCACAAAATGGCTTGGTGAATACGGGCGTGACAATCACACTCTACTAAAAAAACAAACAAAAAAAAAAAACACTGTATGGCCATATCTGACTTGATTGCGGCTGACAATAACACACGCGCCTATGGAAGCCACTGGCTACGACCATTCCTTACAGATGCGTGTATTAGTCCCAGCTGCAGCTGAGCAATTCGGGCACAGCATAAGCCTCCTTCAATAAATCAAACGTCTAAGACTTCTTGGTACTGTCAAATAATATTGCAAAATTTCATGGCAACCTTACACAGCCCATAGTCTCTTCTTTGGTATTACATCCGACAGAATTTTTGCTGTGGCGTAAAAGGAACAGATAATTAATTTTACAAAATAACTAAACAGCAAATTCCTTGCATCACAGCCAAGTAAACCAAAGTTCCGGTAAGGTTGGCACAGGCTTACTTCCTCTAACCCCAGTGTGACACACCTACACATCTGCCCAGCAGTTTGAATACAAAAATCTCATTTTTTTGTATAAAAGGTGCACAAAGCATGACCTGCTCAAACGTGGGTTTTTAAAAAGGGCAAGTGATAAACAGAAATCTTCAGTACTCAACCCCCCCCCAAAGCATTACAAATCAACCCCAAACAAAATGATTAATAAAGTGGGTACTTTAAGGGTACCGTTTTGGGGTTGTTTAAATTCATTTAAATCCAAAAGGGTCAATTCAGGCCGGAGAATGAGAAGATAGCTTTAAATGGTTCTGATAAAAGATGAACAGTATAAATGGCTTTTGATGGCAGTGTTGTTTGGGAGTAAATGACCATTTATCACACTGCAAAATTCACCTTGAATTAATTCTTGAACTCTTATAGAAATCAAACATACTGCCCCGGCAAAAACTGATGAGACAATGCAGAAAAAAATGCTTACTGGCAACCAAGAATACAACTTAAAGGAGAAGCATGCTTACTTTATTTTCTATGTAAACTGGGTCCATGGGGTGGGTTAGAAAACAAACAAGATAAAACCAATGCCATTGGTAACACCTTAACTATTTCACGGCCATACAAAGGACTAGCTGTGCATTTTTGTTCAGAAAATCAAATTTGAATTGGTAATTATGAATCATAGATGAATCAGCTGAGAGCAATGCACAATGTGGTGAATTTGTGTCACTGGACCCAACAGAAGGAGTTCTAAACTTAAGCCGGGGTCCTTTTCAACCTTGTGAGGATGGACACCATCGGAGGGGAGGGCTTGCTGACAAATTAGCCTCAGGTACAGTAAAGGGGAAATGTGAAGATATCATATTGTGTTCACTTTGTGATGGGCGTGTGGTGAAGCATGGGTGGTGTGGTGTGTATGTGCATTTCTATGTACAAGTGTGTTGAGGTGGTTGTGCTTGTGAACAAGGAAGGTCGACACGAGTTCCTGGGTTAATGCTGGTAGTCAGGTAAAAGAAACCAACAACCTTGGTATAGATTCTATAACATGAATGGTGTTTTGGCCGGTCTCCGAGTACGGCCTGGCTAGTAATGCTGGGAGTTTAGTGAAAGACAAATTTAGCCAATACTGGCAGGCAGATGATGCGTCCACTCTGGTCTGTGACTGTACATTCATTTGTAGAAGTTTTTGTTCCTGCGTGAGATGGTTGGCCAGTCTGTGGAAAGGTTAACCTTTTTGTTTTCTGTGTACATTTTTGGAAGTGAGGGATGAGGGCCTGCGAGGGAAGGGGGGTCGCAGGGGAGGGAGAGGGAAGGCGGGCAAGTTTCATCATTTGGCTCCTTTGCCGAACATGCGCTCCACCTCCTCCTCGTAGTGGGCTATGTTCCTCTTCATGATGTCCATGCAGGGCCCTAGCAACCTCTCAAACGCGTTCACATCTAGGACTGCGGAGGGAGGGAAACGATACAGGCCAAGTTAGAGAATTTCACTTCAGTACATAGGACTGCTAACACCTTTCGCAATTGCAAATTCAACAAAATTGTTTGGTTTTTCAGTCAAGTTCCTTCTGATATTGTCACGTTATACTTAAATGGCCAACCCAGGAAGAAGCACAATTCCAACATGCAGACAAAAATCTTTCAACATAGCCTCGCAATCATTCATTACATGTCGAGACACGTCACCATTGTCTGGAAACAGTATCCTTTCTGACATCTTCATTCCTTCACTCCCAGACAAAACAGCACCCTCGTTCGAGTACGTTGACCGTCACGACCCGTGAAACCCGATATCCATCCAACGAAAGGCCCTCACATGGCCAAACCACAAATGATGTAACCCCTCTCCCAATTTAGTTGGCACAATTTCACCCCCCTGTTCCACGTGCCAGTCCCTGTCAACAGTGATCAAAGAGAGACACATGGCAGACACTGCAGCTCTAAACCGGCGTGGACTTTGTCCACATTCAGAGGGAATCTGGTCATAGGTACTCACACATGCACTGTGTCCCACACACGTTGGTAACCAATTTCATACAGCTGCTTAGCAGAGCATCTCGCTTACCTACATTTTTGCGCTAAGATAAAACCACCAGAGCACCGGTAAAAAAGTATTTGATCTTTGATGTTTTGGCTAGAAGCCTGTTTACGGCTTTGGCAGAATTTTCTAGTCCCCGCTCAGATCAGTAGGCCACTGGGTAATGTCCAACACAGAGTTCACATCCCTCCCCCTTGTAACCCTGCCCCTCCCTCCAGCGGTGGTCGCTCTCTGGAGCCATTTTGTCACGACTGGGTGTACTTACAGGCACATCTCACGTCACCGCAGGCATAGACCGAGGCAGCACGGGGGTTGTTGGTGATGAGAGCAAGCTCTGCAGACAAAATTTCCAAACAAAATACACACATTTAACCCCCCCAAACAGGCTTTTTAATGTGGACACTGGCTTTTGCAGTTCCGTTTTTCTTTATCCAAGGATGTAAAGTGACATCTTTCCATACAAAAAAAAAAGCAGTTGCTCAGGACAGGACCTGAAAAAATGAACTCAGTCTCTTCAAAAACTGTCTCAAAATACTAGGGAACCTACCTCCAAAGTACTGGCCGGCATTGTACGTCGCGATTTGTTTCTCTTTTGTTGGGTCGTCCTTTATGATTATAAGAAAGAACAAAAGTAAATGAGTCTTCTTCTCTAACACGTCATTGTATTTGTAGGTTATGAGAAAGTGTCCAACAAATACAATAACCGTGACTGACCTGGTTACTGGAGGAACCTAACTGACATTTTCTATATTGTGAATTATTTGCGCAACTTGTCAAATTTCAGCTATCCTAACCTGAACCTGCTAGGGTGTCCTCGGCACAAGGGTGAGGTTGGATAAATATATCTAATTTTCATTTGTAAGAGTTAGTCAGACAAGTACGAGTCAGCGTCTTATGGTAATTGACAGACATGCAATATTCGTGTATCTTTTTATGACCGCGGCTGGATTACTTTGCGGCTCCATCAAATCAACCAGGATTAAGTCCCGCTGGATGCAAGGTGCGACCATTCCTGGGATCACTTCTACCTTATAGAGAATGTGATTCTCTCCGCATATTTCTGCTGAACAGCTTGCATAGTTCAACTCCTGGCACTACCACAAGCTGAAACCATCATCCATAAAGAGTCTTTGGATAATGCGGGTAATCATAAAACAGGCCAAACAGAACACAACAGAAGAAATCATCAATGTGGTCGGTAATACGACTTCCCTAGAACATTCTCAATGTAATGGCACCCTGAGAGACAGAATGCCGTCCAGAAACTCCTCAAATCAAGGATTTATTTTCCTTTTTGAGACACCTGTTTCTACGAGACTTCTTCAAAATATTTCTACATATATCACAAATGGTACACACTTTGTGCAGTGGAAAACAAATCCCTTCCTGAATAACAGGCCCTTGTCAACATATGCCAGAGTTGCATGAAGGCGCCACTGGTAATCTCCCAGCTGGCTTGTAAATTATTCTCCCCTGTCTAACAAATCCTTGCTGCTACACTGCACAGAATGATGAGATTTTTTTTCATGGGGGGGGGGTGGACTCTTTAGCATTCAGCCATAGCAGTCTTCATGCGACGGACATGCTTCACTGCTTTCCATGTCCCCTCTGGCTTTAAAAATCCATGGACCACTGGCTCACAGCAGCCACCTTGTCTTTTTACATATTACTCTAATTGGGTTTCAATGAATGTGCGAAAGTCTATTCATGGGAATACCTTGAAAACAAAAGTGTACCCCTCAAATAGGATGGCTATCGTGTAAGGCATCTATTCAGACGCCTTAAACCCGATCAACGAATTTAATGATTCACTATTATGTCACCAGCTCCAGCACTTTTCAACGAGTTAGCTCAGTTGTTAAATGAAAACAATATCCCTCAATGACCAAACAAAATTTAAAGAACATAAAGGAAAAAAAATGCTGAACACTTGCAAAATCTATGTATCTGTTAAGGCTGAAACACCCAATATATTGGTAGCAAAGTGACCAGTATTAAGGCAATGGCATGTTAGCTTGAATAAGAACAAACAAAGTGCTTGCATCGGAACAAAATACAACTTGGTTAATGCCACCTTTGTGAGTGAAACAAATGGTTGGGCACTCTGACATATTCAAGTTTGCAGATGTACATTTCCAAGTGGAAACGCCCAGACTACAGGCAATTATAATTCGTTAAAGGTCAAATCTTTCCTCCCGCTTGCTTGCACACTTCTCAACCTCTAAAGAGCCATTCCACAGTACCATCATGCCCGTCAGGGCCAAACAATTTTGTTGACAGATCAATAGAATTTGCGTCAAAATTTTGGGGCGAGGAGGGGCGTTGGACCAATGGGCAGGACGGAGGTCGGAAAATACAGGGCGGGGTGTGGGAGACAATAGGAGGGGGGGGGCACAGTTGTACCTGTATATACTTACAGCATTCTGAAAAGTGAACGCACAGCAACATGCATGAAGATGGTGGGCGGTGGCCAAAATCACGGCGCAGAAATAACGGTGGTAGTTGTGATGGAGTAGTAGAGAACAGAAGGTAATGGCACACGAGATATTGAACGCACGTGTATATGTGTGTGTGCGTGTCATGCCCAGACAGTCACAGACAAGAATGTATTGACATTTATGCCACAGTTGCCATGACATAAACATGGAACCAAAACAAAACAAAGAAATAAATACCATTAGCACCCACCAAAAACAATCAGACATCAGTGCAGAGAACAATTCCATGCAAACTGATTACTTGAAGGGGCCACCTCAACTTTCAACTGGCTAAATTTTTCGGAAAAAAGACCGGGATTTAATCCTCCTCTTTCTGAATTCAGGGTATCCAAACTCAGAAACTTGGGATCGAAGGAAAAAACTTCCAATTGCTCAAAGTGTGTTTACATACTTGTACCCCTACTTTTGAATGCATGCTCTGCCAGTATTCAAAATTAATTTGAATACCGCTTGCAAGACTGAACTTGCTGAAAGAATACCTTCCTACCAGAGGGTGACGGAAAACCGAGGACACAGCATAAGGGCATGCCAAGCCTTTTTTCTCACCTTCATACATTGTTGTAATTTGACTGTTGGAGCAGGGGGTAAAACCAAGGCTAAATGGCCTGATTCAACACGAGTGTGTTGGAACGCTGAATGACTGAATGGAGACCAGGCAACGTGAATCAAATTGAACCTGTGCCAAATTGAAATTGAAGAAGCCCCTTTCATTTTTCCCCACGACGTATTCTAGTCAGATAGCTACATGAGGCTATCAACAAACAAGAGAAAGCAACCAAAAAAGAAGGCAAAAAAACCCCCCAAAAAACTGCATAACCAAAGCATTTGCCAGAAACAAAACTAATTTCAAAATAAAATGCCTCTTTGTACTCCAAAGCTTGCTGAACAAATTCCAACTTTATTTTCCCCAGGCTTAAAAATCCACGATTGTTAGTGCCTTGCCAGAAAAGTAAATGTCTTGTTTTTACAGTATATAACCTTGTATCTTTTGATTAATAACTGACACGTTACCTGTAACAAAGACATGTTTAGTTTGCACAAACAAATGAACATTACCCACAAAATACAAACTAAATAAAATCAAAACTTAACACAATTAAAACATGAAATACAATTAATAACTAAATCAACGCAACAGAAAGTAGCTGGTGATACTGAGACAAGTGACATGTGAAAAAAGCGCATGAATGAATGAAATCTGAGAAGAAAATGGATGGACCAAATGGTCACGGTGAACAGTGATGTAATGCATCCCCATTGTGAAGAACTCAAGGGAGGAGAGAACAGTGTCTACGGAGCATTGCCAATAAACTTTGCTCAGCCCACAATCGGGGAGCTAGCTGTGAATGCAGTTTTAATTCAGACTTAGCTATTACAGTGTCCAGTATTAACTGGGAAAAGAAAGAAAATTCCCGTACAAGTCAACAGAGTTGATTTTTTCGGATGGTCCCAAACTACATGTATGTAACCAGACATCCATATCTGGTACTGTACGTGCAAGATCTCACCATATAACTCTAAAAAATGTGGAATTATTCACCGGAAGATTTCTTCATCAAAAGGAAAAATTCTACTTTTTCTTTTGCTAGCTCCAACTCAAAACCCTTGAAGATTTTCACCAAAGTCACTAAAAATGCATTACATTCACTGAATGCTTAATTCACAGAAATAATACTACCCAAAAACGATTTACATTTACATTCAAATGACATGTAATGAAACCAAAGTAAAGCTGCCCAAATGTATGAGTGCATGCTTAATTTATCCCTGTCCAAACAAGGCTGACAGTTCCAATGCAAAGTACTGTTTGCGATTCATTTCATATGACAAAATTGAGGGGGAAAAATTCCGTCACGGGAGTTGATTGGGGGAAGCCACAGATTTGTCCAAGAGCCCTTTCTAAATAAATGGTCAAATCCCCCCGCAAAAAATTCCCTCAAATGTTCACAGAAAAAAAGATAATGCATGAATCTTTGATGGCATGCATTTTTAGGGAAAGATGAGGATTCGAAGCGGTCCTGTTGTCTGGCACATTCTTGTTGATGTCGTAAGAGCAGGAAAGGGACTCTCAACCTGTGCAAACTTGTATGCAACCGCAATACACAGATCTGGATACAAAGGTATACTACTGGAAACGAATGTCTGTCAATTCACAACAAAATGGAAGGCAAACAGTGCTTTGCAAGCCCAATGAGAGCTTATCTCTGTGAAGTGTACTCACAAATTGAATCACACTACTTAAAGGTTCCGACCAAAACACTATCAGATTTGATCAAAATGGGCTTAATTTTGGAACTGGCCAATTAGACCAATCAGTGGGCGCACTTTACAATTTTCTCTTTCTGGTCGTGGCAAAAGCTACCTACAGAGATATAACCGACATGTGCTTGTAACTGAGCATTTTGAAAGGTTTGGGGTCAATGAGCCAGTTCTTTATTTCAACAGTGCGCGCTCAAACTAAAACACACTGCAGTCCGTTCAAGAACATCAACACATATGCACGAGGCTGGCACTAGCAGTGTGTTCTATTCTCCAATGAACTTGCCTTTGATATACAGAACTGGCTCATTGCTGCAATCTGAAGCAATATCGATGGTTAAATATGAGAACGGCGAAGAAACTTGATTGGGCAACTATTTCCAGGACCAATCCCTTCCCTCAACTCAACCGCTGGAGATTTGGCTAGTACAGTACCTGTTACTGAGTTAATAGGTTGTAGGTGAAGAAGGGAGGGGTGGGTTGGGGGGGGGGTGTACGTTTTCATTCAGCTTCCAAGCGACATCCGAAGGGTGGTTTGTATCGAAATAATCCTAGGGAGTGAGGAGCCGCAACCAGGCAATGCCCATCGCGGCGACCAGCAAGACCAGGCCCAGGGTGTCCCGCAGGGAGAGCAGCGCCACCCAGGGGAAGTCGGGGTGGCGGTGAAGGAAGGACAGAACCTTAGGGCAGAGGGAGGACGAGAAGAAGAAACACAAAGGAATGGAAAGAGCAAAGGATGGGTGACAAGCAAGCGATGATGTGGGTGAGTGTGGGAGCATGCATGGGTGGCAGTGAAGTACAGACAAAGGCAACTGAACCTGGGGGGGGGTTCGTCCCGATTTTGGCTGGTTTAATTCTACAAGGAATTTTCCTTTTTATACGATTTAGTCGGGCTGGGTATAAAATTCCTAGCAGCTTTAAAATGCATCAGGTTGTAATGGAAAGGACTCCGACATTTTTAATTTCTAAAGCAAATTTTGAATGGTAAGATGTTAAGTCACAACCTACATGTCTATACCATGTCATCTGGACAAAATTACCGAATCAACTATACTACTTCTAATATGGAAAGCCCGATTACTGGCACGTAAACACTCTCCGAACAAAATACAATTTGCATTCTGAGCAGCTTTTCGTGCATTAACATGCATGCTCTCAAATCAAAATCACAACCTTTCACAGAGTAAGCTCTTCAGTGCTCTGCAGCCTACACAGAAACGTCTAGTTTTCAGGCAAGAGCCTTACTCATGCATAATAACAGCAAATGCTCATGCTTTTCCAATTCCGATCTGAAAACCATCTTCGCCCGCTCAGATTATCCAACTCCATATTCATGCTCTTAATGTAATTCATGAATGCTTTTTCATTTCCAGTAGACCAAAATTGAGGTTGAATAAACGAAAAAAAAAAATGTGTTTTTCCAGCAATATGTCACACCATGTTTCTCTTAAAAAGAAGAACGAACTACCAAAATATGCAAACTTTTGAAACAAGAGAATTTAGCACCGCATAGTCTAACATTCTTGTGGGGCACAATTCCATCCATGCCCTATTCTAGCAAAACTTTAAACAGTGACAGGACATAGTAAAACACACAATTGAAGGCATGACACTTTGTGTCATTACAGAGACAGAAAAATTGGCACGGCTACGTCAACTTGATGCACAGAAAAATTTAACAGACAGCATGTCTCCGGCCAAATGAAAGTCATTCTTTTTCAGTGAAAACAAAAAATCATGGAACCGAAAATATCCCCATGATGTCATTTCTGCATTTAATATCTACGTCTGTCGCTGGACATTATCTCTTTGACAATCTTTCAGTTCTCTTTTGAAAGATGTGCTAGTTGAGTCTCATTCCATATTTTGTTGGTGCTGTTGCAACTGGACACCAGACATTTGGAGGTAGGATAATGGGACCCTGCTTTGGGCCCTACATAAACAGGATTGGCGAAGGGATATTTGGCCACACGATTGGGTTGCTGCGACCAAATTTCTACTTTTGCTACTTGTTCTAGACAAACTGCTTTGAAAAGGAATTGATGAGACCTTATTTGGGACATTTTTGACAAGATGGGTGTGATGTGCAGACTATCCCAGCATTTGAGAAAATGTGACTAAAATCAGGACTTATTAACAAACTCGGCTTCAGTATAATAATAAACATCCCACTTTTTAAAACTTTGAAACTAACAATTTTATTCACAGGAAAAGCCAATCCATAGCTACCACAATATTTGAACTTATTCACATGTAACTTGAGTTTGTATTGAAATTGAAAATCAGCACAAACTTCCTGACACAGACATTTTCAATGTGCTAATTCAATGCCGTTTTATTTAACTTTGAAGAACAATATTTACCATTTTGGTCTGGGACTTAAAACACATCACGGTGCTAAATATGAACTTTCCATTCTACATAGAAACATGGACAAGCTACATAGAGGGGAATAAATTTCAGGGCTACCAAAAATTTCAGCCAATTGATGGATTGTTTAGGTTAGTAGGTTAAATGTTAATGTGTGGGGTTGTGACTGGTTTCGACGAGACTGCTCTTGAAAGGCACGGGAATGCTAGGATGTTAAATGTGGGATATTGAGAGAACGGAAGAAGAGATTTTAAAGAGAAGAGGTTGTTTTGTGCTGGTTTAAGAAAGTTGAGTAGGCCAGACAATCACTGATTTCCTGAAAATTTGTCTCAATGTGACTGGGATGCGCATGGAAGTCCGTTTGGGAAGGGAGAAACACCTTACCTTGTTTTTCATGGTGATACGAACGCTACCGTTTTCAATGAAATAACACCCGTCGGCTTCATCACCCTACGAAAGAGACAAAAATCATTATTAAAAATGGGATGCAAACAGCACATACCTCTGATCTTGTCAAATCATGCAAATGATTACTTGTTTTAAATGAGCCTAGTGATGATGTCATTGTTGACACTGTGCGATTTTTGCTAATTACCTTACCTGGGCAATGATACACTCTCCGTCAGAGTACGTCTTGGTTTCTAAAGCGTCGGCAAGATTCATTCGCTCGTAGGGCTGATTAATAAAAAAACAAAGGCCAAAATGACAGAAGTTTGAAAACCAATGTTTGAAGAATCTGTTTTAAAGAACAAAACTCATCAGAGACTGAAAGGTTTTCAGATAATTTCACAATGTCAAAGTCATGATTTGGCAAGCTATGCATATTTTGTATATGCTACCATGCCAATAGATGTGTACGGGGAAAAATATTTTGGAAACAAGTTAAGTTTTGCCCCCTCCAAGAAAAGAATAAAAACTCACCCAGAGCAGGTCATATGATACAACACTGGGTGGCTCAAGTACACACTGAATGAGACACACCGACAACCAGTGGGGACCCTAACGAGTGAACCAGTGAAAACTATACTGCCTACTGTCAAGTCAGCACAAATCCCAGGAGTGTCATTTTGGAGTCTGAATAAAGATTACAAAACAATCAGTCTGGCCCAACTATTTTGGCACAACCAAAAATTTGAAAACAGCGTGTTACACATACTGTAGATAAAACCCAAGCTGGGATGGCCCTCACAGTTAGGGCCGGTGAGGTCTTTCGTTCTCCCTCAACCTTCAGCTTTCATCTTGCACGTACCTCTAATGATTTCAGCATGGAAACATTCTCTAGTAGGGACTCGTACATCTTGCGCTTCTTGGCGGCGTTCTTCAGTACTATCCTCCGGAATGAGGATCGATCCTGAGAAAATCACAGGATGAACAATTAAACACCGATGACATTGGAATCAACCAAATCTCCCAGGGCAAGTTTGGCAAGGAAGTTTTTCTTAAGCCTCCAAACCCAATACTCTGCTGTTTCCAATGGTATTGACGGACTGTGACCCCTAAGGACAATATCTGCATGGCCTCCAGGGGCACTGTTTCAGATCCTTAGTCATGGCCATTACTAAAATTCTGAAACTAAAATAATAGTTTCAAATCAGTATGAAGAGCGGTAATCAAATCACCACGAGCCAATCACAAGTGATCTGGTCTCGATCTAAGTCACGAGCTAATAAAATGAACCACCACAAAGAGAACTGTTTGTCATCGCTCATTCCCTCATTCAATACTTAGAGGATTTGATCAGTGTTGTGGCTGGGTCCAGTCACAAGTCCTTTCAAAAGACAAGTCACGCGTAACAGGGTGTACAATGACACAGGACTGCTTTTGTCATGGCTTCTTTGACTTGCCCGGCACTTGTGATGGATTCGACCACAACACTAGAGTTGACCCTTGAGTGACTGGATTTCAGCTTTGGCATATCTGGACTTGAGTTCAAGTCTTTTTCTTTTTAACACAGGGTAAAGGGGGCTGGCATTGTTGGTGTGGGCTGCTGCAGATGCGAGTGGAAAGAAATCACAGGCCCAGGAAATATCTGTACCGATTCAAGCTTTGCTTGAAGTGTAGACAATTATACAACGCAGGTGGAAGAGGGAGTCCCAGGGAGAGGCTGTATGAGCAAAAGAACTGGAAAAATATCTCAGTCCTGGCCTTTAGAACAGTGACGGTGAAAGGTGTGACAACACTGCCAGATGAGTAGGTGTGCTTACCAATGCCCATAGTGAACCTGGTGTGGTGGCTACGATGGTCGCCGCTCTGGGCGTGTTGTACATGAGAGCCAGCTCTCCGAAGCTACCCGTGTTGTTGTAAGAGCCCACCTTGTTGCCGTTGACGAAGATGTCGTACATGCCACTGGAGAAAAAGGGGAAGCGGAGCAAGGGGGAGAGACAAACGGAATGGAGATTTTTCAAACTTTCATAAATTAGGATGGAAATGATGGCGGTAATGAAAGAACAGGTCAGTGATTACAGCGGCATCTGCAATTCATATGACAGGAATGCTGAAATCGATGAAGAAATGCACCCAAAATGAACACCCAAGAATTGACCAGAGCCGAGTTGAACAATTCATGTGCTTAGGCAGCGTCTGTCAAAGACGGCATCACTGTTAAGCACAACATATCAATCTGGATTGGAAGAGCAGCATAAAGACAAAAAGGCCATAAAATCACTTTCAAAAGATGATGTGAAGAGTGAAAATGATGGAAATATTACCCAAAGATGTACTAAGAAATTAAAACTCCAAAAAAAACCCCTCAAAACAAGCCCCCTCACCCCCCATCACACGGGTCCTTAGTATGTGAAAATTTTGAATATAAAAAAGAATCCAATGCTTCTTTGCCTATTTTGTGTACTACAGAAATGCTTAATCGTACTTGATAATATGCAGCCCACTTACATGCAATTGTGAAGGTTTCTGTAGAATTATATCAAAAATTGATTTTACACTGGTGTCGCTTCGGGACAATATGACATTTGCATTACCACTTTACCATGGAAACTACTAAATAAAAAACGCCAATGGATCAGGTGCCATTCTGAACATATAATGTGTATCACAGATCTTTCAAATTTGATATTTTAGGTCTCTCTTTCTTCTTTTTTTTTCCACAAGGACAAAGGCCAGGGAATTGGATGGAAAAACATCTTGGCATTTCTAAGGGAGGTTAGTGGCCGTAAGGCTTCTTCATCGCCTGTGAATGCCACCTTGCCTTGACAGCAGGCTAAGCAAAAAAAGCTAGTGATGGGGGGGAGCCACCTGTAATCAAATAACTTAACTGTTTGAACCACGCTCTGAACCTTCCTTAGCTATTCTTTCTCTCTTCCACCCCCCCCCGGAATTGCTGAGGATTTGTCGAGCGCCTTTGAGGGAGTTTGTTTACAGGCATACAATCATGCACGTACAGATGGTTGCAGATGGCAAAAATAACACTCGGTCAGCTGGGTTGGGCTGAACGCGTTGATAGTAATGAAGGATTCTGTTGGCGGTTTGCTGAGAGTGAAATCGACTTTGTGGAAGCATGCGGACGTGGCACGAGGTCCATGTAAGTTTGATTCCGAGCAGACGGAGCTGAGAGTGACGAGACCAGGTGTTTTCTTTCTCCTTTTTCTTTTCTTTTTGTTTTGTTTTGGGGGAGGCCTGATGTTTTCCCAACCTCCCGGGGGAAGTGGCTGTGACTTACCTATCGATGACGTAAAAATTGTCCCCATCGTCATCTTGGTCGATAATGTGCTCGTCTGGCTGGGTCTATCATAATACGGTAGCAGGTGGGGGAATGAGAAAAATATCTGATTGGCATTTGAATGTTATTTTTGGGGGGAGGGGGGGTTGGGGGAGTGGCAATTGGGGACTTGGGGAGACGAATGCTACAGTGGAATGCTTCGAGAACGTTTGGGATATGCCAATAAAATCAAGTTGTGTCTTGAGGCACGGGGGAAAATTCCAAACAGCAAATTGTGGACAAAGTGCTGCCTCGGGAGAAACAAGCTGTTGTAACTAAATTTTGATGCATGCGGAAGCTCGTACGTGTACATAGAGGAGCGGAGTGACTTGGTAAAACATCTGAGCCAGATATTTTGGGAATGCAAATTAGACAACATTGGTGTGCCAGAAACAAGACTTGGGTTGGAAAAATGTCTTGGTTCGTGTATTGAAGGAGACGCTTGCAGAGAAAAGTAAATTTCAAAACTCAGAAGTTTTGGGTCAAACGGTTAAAAAAGCCTCCTCTATTCACTCAATCCGGTTACTGTATACGATCAAGAGATAGGAGTGGCCCTTACTGTAATGGTCTTGATCACAAAGACACTCTCTTATTCTCTTAGCAAAGCTTAAACCATGCCAGCAAAAAAGGGATCCAAAATGAATCACATCGAATCACATCATGATATATATCTTATACATGTATAGGATGCTGCGTGGCTCGGGGGAAACCAAACAGCCAAATTCTAATGCTTCTTTTTGCTGGCCCTTGAAGTTTGGTTTGGTTTGCAAGGGAAGAACTGGGGTTCAGTGCTCTTACCCGCTTCTCAAACATGGCATCCAGTACTTCTTGCATTTGTTCCTGCATGAAACAAAGACAAAAATGACAAACTAAAGAGTGCGCTTTGGAAAATATGCAACAAAAAAATCTCATCAGCATCCAGGGATTATCTCCAATTTTTGTACCCCACCCATAATGCGGAAGTGCAGCTCAAAGAAGCGCATGAGGACATGCTTGAAATAACGCAAACAGCAAGTCAGAGATTTGTTCTTGGCAGGACCAAGACGCTTAAATGCATTTGCTGCCACCACTAATGCTCGTTTTTTTCACACTCCTGATGAAAAATTCTAGATCAGTTCATTGCACAATATTACACAAGAAATAAACATTCCTAATGAAACTTCAAGTCTGAAATGAAGACAACGTATGTATTTCTGTGAATTTCTTTCTTCGCTGGTTGGTTTCAGAACAACAGACTTCTTTGGAAAACATCTGTAGGAAATACTGGGTATCGTGGAATTGAAGCTCAACCTCAAGCCCCGGGAAAGGCGGCGGAGGGTGAGGGGACAGAAACCCTGACTCTGCTCCAGCCAGCGCACAGGCCATCATTCTGGCTGGAGTCCACCCCTCCCCCACTGCATTCAGCCCTGCAACCTGGGCAGACCTGGAACCCGTCCTTGATAATAAGAAGAGCCTGCTGTCAAGGGCATGAATCAGACTTGTCTGCTTGACTGGCTCAAAAAAAATTAACATTGGCAGAATCACTGATAGTCAGAGACGGGTAATTGAGTAAACCCTAAATGGATTATGGTCAGCGGCGACAACGTACAACATGCAAGCTGGGATTTTCGTGCCAACTGCTGTCACTGTAAAACGAATTACGCTAATGATTATGTAGCCGCTGAAGCCCCGTGAAATGAACAGATCTGACAAGGGGAGCCAGCGCTCTCCCTCTGATATAAATGTATGCAATTAACGATAGCAGTGATACCATGGAGGGAGTGCACAAAAACAAGACATCTTGACGAGTGGTTCTAAGACGTACAATTTGTGTAGCCTTGGGTCTGAACTTAGAAAAGGCCACGTCATTATGCCTCAACTAAGGTGTGCTTCTGGTCTAATATACATGTACCGGTGGTCACAGCAAACCTAAAACGTGTTATCATAAACATTATTAAAGCCCTAATTTTGCTGAAACTCAAGGGAGCAGTAGGTCTGTATTTTTGTGATGAAAGAAGACAAATATATGCTTTACAAGTACAAAGGGAAAAACTACATGGAAATTTAACAGGATTATCTACTCTAATTTACTTATTTCTGCTTTTTGTGCTTATTGCTACATTTTCTTTGTATCTGAATAAGCTTTCTCCCCTTTTCAAGCAGGTGTTTCCAAAATATATGTACTTGTATAGCAATGGGCGACATAATGATAAACACGCATCATTACTAGACCTTATTATGAATGCTGGTTCTGCATGCTAGATAGCAACAACAAAGAGCCATCTCGCACTTAATCACCACCAACAGATGTAATGATATCAACTGCACGATTAATAATTAATCGCTGGTCTCCCTTCCTGGGCTGGGTTAGAGAGTGCGGCCCCAGGTTGCTATGAGTAACTGGTGCTTCGCACTGCTACGGATGCGTAGAGGCCTGAATCAACATTAAAAAAAAAAACAACCTCGGTGTAATCATAATGGACAAGTGGCACAGAGACACTTGCTGTAGCCCAATTTCTCTAAACACAAAAAGGGGTGGGGGGGGAACCGAATGAATTTTAATTAGAGAGGGAAAAGTGGTGCCTATTGATTGTCGGCCTTCATTCAGCCATGGGAACAAATGTGCGCTAACAACCATGTTAATACGCACCTGTACTTATTGGAAAACATGTGCCGTCAATGAGGAAATGAGGTGGTATATTTAAGGCCTTAAGGACATGTTCCATTGATTTTAAATTTTTCCCCCTTAAATTAATTTTTATTCACAAGGCTCTCAATCATCCTTGCTACAACCTAAAGCTCAATTGGCTGTAAGAGACCTACGTGACAAGAACCTAAAAACTGCCGTCTGCTCTGCAGAAGGGCCAAAGGAAAAAAATATGTTTTTAAGACATTTTTGATGTGAAACTTATTTCAGACATACAAGGCCTTGACACAAGAACCATGGATAATGACAACAGCTCTTGAAAAAAATGTTGTCTGCGCTTAGCCTTCTCTGACCAGTTGAAATGTACTCGAATTCAGGAAAGGCATCTGGTGGTAAAAATTCATAACAATATTGTGTTCAATTTATATCAATACGAGTCAGTTGCTTGGCAAACCCACAGTAAACACATTTCCTGCAAGTGTCTCCAAATGGCGCAGGACAACAGAGGGAGCCGACAGGAAGATGAATAAAGCTGACCATGTTTTGAGTCTCCACGGCAACCAGGTGCTTCATCAAAGGCAAAATGCCCGACAGGACTACACTGAGCGTACATGATGGAGTAGTCCACCACCTGTGCCTTTCCCTACTGAAACCTTGCCAGGGAATATTTAATTTTGAAACATTCAACAAAATGCCATGAAGATCTGGAATTTTATTTTGAGGGAGTTTACTCACATCGTACTCTGGTAGGTTTTCGGGGGGGAGGGCAGGGGAAAGAAGGGAGGAAGGGGTTATTCTGTTCATAATACTCAGACTGCCCGCCGTCAATCGCAAGTTTCCTCCTGATGAAATGGCGCAGGTAATATTTGGCTACAATCCTAAGCAGTTACGTGTAGGCCCTGAATGATGCGACATTTTTAAATATGTGTTCCAAGGTTGAAATGGGTAGTGTCAACTTCAAGTTGAAAAGGTTGTGCTACTGAGTTCCCATCTTGACTATCATGACTCTGCCTTGACACAAGGCTCGTGACTTGAGTTTTGTTTTTTTGTTAATACTAGCAATTCCATTGCGGAAAAAGGTTGAAACTTGAGGTATCAGTCTGCCCTGAGCTGAAGTGCACCCCCAATTGGCGAAAGGCAGGTGGTTACCAGTGGGTTCTTGCACGCATTTCTGTGTGTACGCTAAGACCATACATGCCGGAGTAAATTAGTTACGCGTACTCAGCGTGCTCCACGTCAAACGCGCATGAGGCGCGCCTATGCAGTGAGTACCCAAAAAAACACGCCCTCTTTTGTTGTGCCCGGAGCGGATGGTAATGCAATCCCAATGATTGCCCATGGTAATTTGCCTGTTTACCTCAGGCAGGAATGTGTGGCCTATGTATCTAATAGTGTAAATGCCGTTATAAATAAAACTAGTGTTTCTGATTACTGCTGTGACACAGTTATACATTTCCTGAAAACAGCATACATGTATATACCCATACATGTACCTGTGCTCAAATGCTCGGAGTAACGCACAAATTTCAAACTAGGCATTTACATGTAAACGAGCCAATTGTGACACAGGCTCACAACCACTCTGGAAATTTTGGATTCATCTCTCTTCTCATGTCTTATTTCTAACTCTTTGCATAACTAACAAAGATACCACACCCAAGACCCCCACTGGGCTTTAACAGTTTTCCAGCTCCTGAGTTTTTTACATATTCATTTTTTTCCCATTGCAAAGATACTTTACAGATTAATTACTTGAGTATAATATCGTTCCACTAATGACCTTGGAAACTCCAGCAGGCAAAAGGAGGCCTCTAATGCATATTTGTCAATGTTTATTTTATGTGTGATTGTCTGATTTTAACTCATTTATATGACGGTGCCACATCAGAAGTAATAAAAGCCACTGCCTGAGTGAAGACTGTGGTATTATGTGGGTTCATTAAGTTAAAAATGGGAACGAATTCAGCCGCAGAGAAAACAAGAATCCTACTATTTCTTTGAAATGTTTCTCGCATTGCCTCGATGGTTCTCCAACATCTGCCTTTCCTCCTATGGCTGGCGTTACTGATTCCTCCGCACCTGAAACGTGACAGTCTCTCGACAGGCTCAGAGTGACAGGGCTGTACTCTCACACGACGATGCCCGCAGGTCAGAGACAAGCCACTAGCTAAAACCCTTCCCCCCATCTCGCTGCTGCTGCAGCAACTGTCAGGTCTGGTTCAGGCTGTGTTTCTGATTTTTCTGTCTTGATCAATCTGCGGTACATGGTTGAGTTGCCAAACTCCCCGGATGGACAGACACTGTTGATACATGTATGGCTGCCTAGCAACAGCATGGCAGACAGCGCCTACTGAACAGTGCTCTATGTGCCTCAGCAGGCAAAGTTCCAAAGGCCTGTGCAAATCTAGTTAAGATGTGGTCTTGAGATTTGCTAATGTATCTTACATGTAGCATAAATGAAACCTAACAAAACCCACCCTCTTTTACATACCTTTTCTAGTGCTCTAAACAAGAGGATGTTCTTCACAGATGCTGCTAGTCTGGCCCTCTGTTCGTCTGTCTTGGGGAACACCACCTGCCAAGGGAGAAAGTTTTTTCAACTGTTTAAAAGTGTCAGAAAAACATCCCCTCCAAAACTCCCCCAAACTTAATGCACAACAGAAACAAACACCTTCAATTGCAATAGCCTCTATGGAAAACACTGTAATGGAAACCACTGAATGGTGTCATCTCAGCATCTTTATTTCAATGATTAAAAAAAAAAAAGATTTAAAAAGGAAATACCTCACTCTTGTTCGTATGCTTTACTCACTCAATAATTACCGCATGCATGTACACACATACATATTTATATCCACATAATTTCCTCCAGGTGTCATTTCAAAAGCCATAATAACTTTTGCATGCTCACAATACCTATTCTTCAAGCAATCCCATGGTTACCCTATTTATTCAGATATAAACCATTGATTTTTGCTTTTCTAAAGAGTCAGTCAATATGTATACGAAGAAGTCATGTTTTTCCCCGCTTGGAAAGAACAATTCATCAGGAATGAGTTAAAATGAAACAGTACATGGTCTGTGTTGACCCCAAAGTTAACATCTCATAAATTCTGAACGACTGGCTTTGGAAATCTTTCAAGGACAGATTGATCATTGCACGCCTGATTGCCGACATGGAAAGCCCCCCGTATTTTTGTACTTTTCCTCCCTCCAATACTCTTTGGCGGCGTTCCGGAAAGGGTGGTACAGTCAAATTGGGGTGCTGCACGCTGTGTTTTGCTAGGCACCTGAGTCATCACAATGCAACACAAATATTCACTTCCTCTTCCTCACTCTGACGCATGTGTTCACAGTTCATGAGTAACATCAGTGTTGACTCGGCACTGCACAAATGTTATCCCGTGTCAGTGTGCATCGCCTCTCAGCCAAAACACCCTCTTCTACAATTGGCAATTGCAAACCACGTATTTGGACAAGAGTGCGATGGGAGTAATCGGCAGTTCATTCACCTGTCGTTTAACGTCATTACTGAGGGTTGCTTGTTTGCTTGTTTACTCTTCGCATGTTGGCACTTACAACGGGCACAATATGTTTTACTGTACGGTACTGCAGTGCACCGTCGTTTCATTTTGATCTTTTCGAATCTTTGGGAGAAACTGCGTTAATGACAGTATGAGACAATGTGCTGCACAGCAAGGAGAATTTATCAACAGCCATCTAAAAATAATCAGCAATAAAAAGTTTCTCATCAAGAGGATTGTACTAAAGTGTCATTCGGCCACCAGAATTAAAAGCCTTTACTGCGGTGGCACAACGCTCGTGGACAGGTGGTACGCGCGCGTTACATGCTTCTTCGACCAACAGCGAAAAGCTGAAGAATGTGCGTGTGAGTGCGGCGCCACTGCAGTTAGGGCGTCTAATCAGATTACAGTTTATAGCAAATTACTTGGAGTGAGATCCAGCGTAAAAAAAAGTTGCTTTCTGAGCTGTTCACAAATTTTATTCGCTTTGCACCGTCCTTTTTCACTGTGTACATGTATATACGTGGAGCGCAAGCTGGCAAAACAGGAACTCAGGAAACACACAGCAGAACATTTTGGTGTCATGGGAAGTTGTTGGGATGAGTTCAAGGTTCTTCCAGTAAAGAAATGAGCGTCCGCTAGTGGAAAGGAAATGTTGAATTGACTGAAACAAAGTCCTGTACAAAAACAAGCCAACAGTAGGAACGCTGCTGAAGAGTACCAGTAGGAAGCAGTAGGAGCACTGGAAAGATGGACTGTGGGTTGGGGGGGGTGCGGCTCCAGCAATCTTGGCTGTTCACAATTTGAGGAGGAGACCTGGGACGGGCTGAAATATGCCTTTATCTGATAATGATGGGAATGAACATGTTCATGTATGTATCCACATGTGCACACTATTCAGTGGCTACACGTATGTATACACTTTTTGCACATCACTGACATAAACCTGGCTGTGTATTGAAATTCAGCATGTCTGTTAGAAACCTACGGCTATACCTTCTGATGCTGATGAGATCATGGCTCACATACATGTACATGAGCAGAGAACCAAACCGGGAAGGGGCACAGTGACAAGACTCAGACAGAGTGACCTGAATAAGTCCGGCCGCTTACCTTTGGCTCATTCTCACTTTCATCGTCGGCTTCCGGATCATAGCGCTCTGCACACACTACAAAACAAATGAGAAATATGCACACATTGAGATCAATGTAAACTCTACGCGAATGATGCACTGTGGTTATTAAAAGATTGATTTCACACAGCTACTTGAACTTTGAGTGCTGCACATTTGCCGAGTGGAGTTCTATGACTGAGCTCTCACAGAGGTACACTAAAGTCCTGTCAGAAATGTAACATTATGCTGTCAAAGGTTCTAAATGCAGGCATGACATATCACTTTGATCAACAAGCGTCAACCAAGACCTGAATATTTTCTGTTGAGGTGTGCATACCGGTACAAAACAAGATACCATTATTAACTAATCAAAGAAAGGGCAAAATGCAGTGCTTACAAAAAATTTTTTTCCTTCTTTATATGCACCATGTGTGCATGCATTTTATTATCCCTTTATCATTTTCATTTGCTGGGCATGTAACGTTCCTTTTAAGCTTTCAATTCAGCACAACCGAAAACGGGCACAGTGAACTACAGGTTAAGGAGTGAGGCAGGGGTGTCAGTTTCACCACGTAAACAAAGTCTAAAATTCAGAGGGGTGCGTGAGACTCAAGGGGGAACCCAACACCACAGACATTCAATTTCATTCCATTTGAACTGACACAAGCTGTCTGGTACAGTTACTGAGAGAAAGAAACATAAAGGACATAAAGGCATATGGAATTGCACATGCACCTATACGTACATGTACTGTACATGTATGCACCTACGTGTACCAGTACACATGAGCTGAGCATGAACAGTACAGATGCAAAATACAGTTTGGGTACATCCCTGCAGCACAGACATGTACATGGTGTGCTTGTGTACATGCAAGGGCACCCTTGACTGTGTTCAAATTTATTTTCTTTTTGGACAAACAGGTGTACCGGTTTCTGAAAGTATCGTTCAGGTACTAGTACATGATGGCTAGGCCTTTTAACATGCATGAACCAGTACTGCACCCATTTGATTTGCTGCTCTCTGCACTTGAAACTCTGAAGAACCAGATCTCTTTCTCTTTGGAATCTGCACTTTGTCTTGTACAAACAAAACAACTGGATACCATTTCTTTCGGTAGTACTCCAAGCTACATGTACCCTGTATGACCAAGTTCAATGGTAAGCTACATGTATGTACATGTACCGTACGTACAGTATACATGTTCATGGACATGTAAATCTGTACGTGTTTTTACAAATACACAGGTTGGCTCTAAGAACACTAACAATGTAATTTATACTACTTCTGATGGATGGGGGACATACTCAGAAGTGGCGATCTCGTGCACACAGGAAAAACTACCATTATAAAGTCTTTTTACAGAGCACTAAAAATTCCACTTCAATTAGAAACTAATAGCAAACACGATTTAATGGGATTTTCTAAAGAAAAAAATGAACAACGCCAGAAAACCTGAGAGATCATCAAAGTCGCACCCTTGTACATTGTCAATGTCTCGCTCACACTTCTTGCTACCAAGGCCATTTGTGTGCACGCATGCATAAATATGAATTTATTACATGTAGTGAACAGGTCTACTGTATGCCATCGTTTACATACTTAGGCCTAGGTGTAGGCCTACCAGACATGTGTACATGTGATTACTTCATGAAAACATGTAAATGGTTTGTCAAGATTTTGGTAGAAATAATTCCAGCAGAAAATGGGCTCTAATAAGAAAAGGATGGAAGAAAATAATCACAAAGAAGTTCCAATGTGTCCTTATGCATCAGGTGCACTTCTAAGTAAAAAACAGCCCGAGATAAAAATGTACCGGTACACGTACAGTGCAAGTACATGTACATGTAGGATGGCCTAAATTCAACCGATGTACCAGTAACTGTGCAAACCACATGAATTATAAACTCACTGTACTGTAAATGTGGATCATGGAACTGATGCTGATTACTTTTATCAATGGTGCATGGTCATCTTGGTCATATATTAATTACATATCAGTGTTTTGGGAGTGACTAGTAAATCCTTGTAAATCTGTCTGAATTCCCATCTATACATTCGTTTCACACGCATTATTACAGGTACAAACAGGTGTTTGAAAACCATGTTTGCTGTGCAGTGTCCCAGTTCACCAGGTTCTCTGATTAAAACTCAACTGTAAATTTAACTTTGTTCCATACCAAATTAATTGAATCTTCATTTTAAATTTGGCACCGGATAATTTGGCCTCCTAACGACGTCTGATCGATTCCAAGCCTGGAAGCTAACAGCAAGGCCGTTTAGGCCAACCAACATGTACACGTATGAGAAGGCGGACCCGGTGACAATATTAAACGAGGGAGGGAAAAGCCGGCTGAGGGCCAAAAAAAAAAAAAAAAAAAGAATCAATACCTGCTGATAAGAGCCTACTGACATTCCGGCATGAGGGGGGCTTTAATCCAGCGAGTGAAGTGAAATGATGGCGAGCATAACAGTGATAGGTGAGGAGGGGGGGGGTTTCGGATCAATACCTTTGCCGTCAAGCACGTCTGATCTATACATCTGCCTTACCAGGCATTGGGGTGTGGATCTCCCTTGTCTCTAAGACCCTCCAAGAAACCCTTGTGGTTGGACAGCTGACCACCCGCTATCCTCCCCCCCTTCAACCCTACAGAGTCAGTTTGCAGTAGCAGTTTGAAAGAGCCATCACTTTCATAACAGATGTCAGTTTCCTTTCATCCTTGTCCTCTGCCTGGAGAGATGTCAATTTCTTTTAATCCCCCTCTCTTGCCAGGATGGGTTTTGACAGTGGATGGTCAGACTGCTGGAAGCTGTGCATTGAGGTCTTGGCGCACACCATGTAATGGACAATGAATGTTTCTGTTGTTGGCATGATAAGCAACAATCAGTTTTGAGCGACTGACGCCTTCAATGCTCAAACAAATGCTTGAGGATGGAGAGTGACTCTTGGCAAGCGCATATCTAGAATCAATGATTTTTACGGGGGGGGGGCATTTTCTTTGGTTAGCCAAAAAATTGGGAGAATTTCTTCAGAGACCCTTTGTGACCTCTCTGAGGGCTGAGGCTAGAATTGGGGCTTAGATGCTTTGGAAAGGATGGGGGAATGAAATATTGTAGCCCCAGAAATTTCCTCTAAGAATCTTAGTATTTTTTCAAACAAAAAGAAACTTGTGCTGGGGGGGAGAAGGTATTCCCCTCAATGCGTTACACATTCATGTGTTTAAAAATAGGGAAATCGTGCTTGAAAAAACTGACAGTGATACCGGGGAGGTGTAATCAGCACTAACCAGAAAGTTCAAGGCACAGTAATGGTAATTGCCTCATGCATGTACATGTACCAAATTTATACTATCACCATATTCTACACCTACACGTATGCGCCTACAGCACAGTGATGCGGTAAGCACATGGCTGCACAACACATGCACATCACACACACATTGTACATAGTGTATGGATTACACCTGTACATAAGATAAATTGCTGCGCGTGGAAAGGTTAACAGCCTACGTGCATACATGTACATGTTATCAAATGATTATCCAAGTTGGGTCATGCCATCTGTATTGTGTTCAATGACTCCATGTCTCCATGTCTGAACATTAAAAGATTAGTGTCCACTTAAGGCAGAGGAGCAATTTTCCTGCAGCTCTCTTTCTGTGGCAGTGTGCACTGACGACTCAACATAATAATGAGTGTAGGTTGGGGGTGTAACCATTGACTACTCAAAGGGGTGTCTCTGACATGATTCTGTTATCAGGACATGTACACGTACGTGCAAAAATGACAACTCGGCAAACTCACCTGATTTACGTCTTGAGAATCTGTTTCTTGGAAGCTCTGCAGAGGGGAAGAAGTTAAAAAAAAAAAGAAAAGACAGTTAGCGTGAACGGATGTCATCAAACGTACAGGTAGTTGCAGGTAAATCTACTCGTGCACACTGTAACTTCTCTCATCCATACAGTTCTGTTAGGGTGAACATACAGGCCTCTGTGCAAGTAATTTCAAGAGGGCTTCCTTGATCTACACCTTTCTTTTTTTTTATAACAGCTTTAGTGAACAATAGTCCATGAGGCATGATACATTACATCAACTCAAATACAGTCAGTAATGCACTACAAGTGATTACCTCATGGCCCAATCACTGGTTCACAGTGGCATTAACTAAAAAGGAATATTCTTGAGTAAATCTAATTGTACAAGTGAAAGAGTGTACCTCCCGAACATACATACATGTGCATGACATGCATGTACATGTACAGACACATACTGGTACATGTACCAACATGTACGTATCATATTTTCATCTTCAATCATGGCACTGACACAAGATCGATACCTTTTCGGGGTACAAGTCAGAGAGTACATAAAATAAGGCATAAATTGGAAGGGAAACAGTTATCAACAGTTGTACACGTGCAGAGAAGTACCAGCAGGTACTGTGCGTGTACATGTGCGGAATACCGCGTTTTCAAATATTTCTAACAATGAGTGAACTTGAGCGCTGGTTAGCCCATGTCTGAAACTGCTGATCCTGTGAACATGCAGGGCGAGTGACTGATACAATATTAATAATGACGGACTGGCAGCGATTGTCGACCAAAGGATTACGCTGAAAGTAGCCATGGTAGCTCTCTGGGGAAAAGAGGAGACAATATTGTGTAGTTGGGTTGAATGATGACGGCAGATGCTGTGACAGACTATTAATATCAGTTATAGTCTGTCCCTGCGCTAAACTTGCCGAGTCCACGGTGGCAATCTTAAAATGTCCGTTAAGCCAATATCATGCACAAATACTATGTGTGGGCTGGTAAAGTTTAGTTTGATTAATTTGTAAGTTTTTTCCATCAGGAAATTGTAAGGAAACACTAGCTGCTTTCTGACCTTTTCATGTTTTTTTTTCAAGAATCAATGTAGCAGTGACTCGATCCGGGGATCCTGACATCACTTTTAAGATGCCTTTAGGAAGAAGTGTGAAACGTCTATAGGTCCTCAGCAGTACAGTGCTCATGTAATTCACACAATGTTAGCTAATCTTCTTTGATTCAAAATTAACAGAGTACTTTAATCCTAACTCCATTTCCTTCTGGTGTTGAACTACCATCCTGGTCTGATCATCTTTAAAACTTGATTTGTAAGCTCAAAATTGAATTTCAACATATGTACGTACACTCAGATTACAACAAAAACAAAGTCTCAGGTGACACTTATGAACAGGGTAAATGTCACTAACTTGAACATGAAAACATGGTAATTGTGGCATTAGCCCGAGGTGTTTGGGTCAGGAGGGACTGGATATGAAGCACAACAGTACGCAGCCGCATCCATGCATAAAAAAAGAAGGGGAAAAAAGATGTTTTCATCATTGTTTTCAGTTCTTCTCCTCATTTCCCCACAGAATCCATGACAGAGGGGCAGGAAACTGGCAGCAATATCAACGTTGAATCCTGCTGTCCTGGGGGCAAGAAAAGTGCCTGATCACTATCGCAGACGTACGTGTACGTGACGTGACAAATCTCCATAAGCTGTGTTGGCTACTTTCTTGCCGGTCTGCAGCTCTGTTGTTTGTGTTAGAACTTGGGCTAAGGAAGTCAGGGAGAAAACAGGGGCTAATCTGAAAAGGCTGCTTAGTCTAGGTTCCAAGGTGTCAGTGGGCTTATTTATTTGATTTGTGGGTGAAATTTATCAGATGTGGTAACACCATTTCGTGGCGGTGAGTTTGCAAACCAAGTAAATAGCAATAGTTGCCCAGTGGCAAAAACATGTTACCAGCTGAAATGTCATGCTGTAGTGATGTCCATTGGTTCCGACTGGTTCACAGGTGTTTTCTACTTAGGCCGCATTTAAAAATCACTTGGTAGTGGCTGGAAATTACACGCAACTCTATGGCAACTGGCCGGGGTCACTACCATAGACTTGAGTGTAATTTCAGGCCACAGCTAAGTTCCTCGGACACGGCCTTCGTGCATTTGGATAGCTATAATTTGCCTCTTTAACGTCTTGGTGAAATTGGGCTCTGATCAAAGCCCACTAGACAGACGAAGGTGGGAACTTTTGAAAAAAAAAAAAAAGGTAATCAACTCCATCTACACCACGTGGTGGCAAACTGACACAAATCACCCAGGCTTGACAGGAGGAGAAGCTTGATTAGAAATGAGAGCAATTAGGTCCCCCCCAAAAGACCTTTACTTGGTTGTAACTTCAACCATCCTTGCACAGTGCAGACTACCTTGCACTTTAAGAAACCACCCGTGAATATCACCAAAAATACCGACCAAAACTACACGCAGTGCAGGTCATGTACCAGTAACCTTTGAGTTAATCAAGCTGCCAAGACTCAGTAACAGCTGATGGCAGTGCTGGCTAGAACTGATGAAGTGTACACGTACATGTACATGTAGCCATCAAAGCTTCCTACACTGTCCAACTGCACTGATTCAAATTTTACAGCACTGAGGGGTAAGCACCCAATTTCTTCATTGTTTCAAATATGACTGGCTGATCTTAAAGGGGGTCATCCTCAACACCTGCACATGTTTAAAAAAATTATGCAAGAGGCATGAGTGGATACTAATGATTAAACTTACGGTAAATAAAACGAACACAAAAACAAACAAAAACTGGCTTTTTATCCAAAGCTTTTTATTTGAAAAGGATAACGTGTGCATATCTGCCGCTTATCTGCATGCACAACATGGAACGTAATGTATAACATGGGTAAAGTTGAGTGAAATTCTAGAGGGTTCAATTTCTGGTATTTTCCAGTGTCCACTTTTACCTGGGGAAAAAAAATTGCATGCGCTTCAAGGGTGAAAGAATACAGATGAAAGGGAACAGAATGCTTTAAATAATATTGGCCAGGGGTTGGGGGCAGCAAAAGCAGGAGATTTGCCACTTCTGTCATTATCTCCAAAGATTCTTCCTCAATTAAACGGATTTCAAATGAACTAACACATGTAATGGAGACAAATGCCTGAGGCAGCACAGCCGAGTCTGCGCTTCCAACAGGGGACAAAACAGCATGCTGCATATTATCCATACATCAGGAAGATTAAGCGCTTCCAGTATCCCTGACACTTTAAAATTAACTACTGCTAGTTTCATCTGTTATGTCAATCTTGTAGCTACATGTATGCACTTGTACCATCCAGTTTCAGATTCTGTTCTTAACCTTGGAACAGTTGAGCATTATGATCGCAACCAGCTGAATGTATAGGTGCCGAGTGTGAGCATAACTGTAATCTAGGTTTGGAATCAGATTTAGCTTTTAGAAGGGGAAGTATATTACATGTATGTGTGTTCTGCTGGTCTAAAGTTAAATACAAAGCAGTGCCAACCCTTGCGATGTCAGAAACAAAGACGGAAAAGAAAGCGGTCTACAGGGCTGTGCCAAACATCCGAATATTCGATCGATTATCAAATATTCAAATATTTTTTTCCGAATTTGAATATTCAAATGCAAAATTCATGGAAAGGAAGGGAGAACTTTCTTTTGTTTAAAATAAGAACAAAACTGCACTATGGAGGCTTGTTTCAAGCAGATTCAAATGAAAAGCGACAGAATATTATCTTACAATTTAAAAAGTGAATTATTCTTTAAAAATATAAAAGGGATATTTTTATCACGGCAAGAAGTATTGTTCGTCTGTAAAATCATGCTAAATCGTGGCTGGAGATACTCCTAGAAGTGAGAAGCTAATGTATTGATTATAATGTACAATTGTGTGTGTTAGTGCAACTGATTGGTGTACATGTACATGCATGGTTTGTTCATCAACAATCATATTTGGATATTCAATTAATTGAAGGTTGTATATTCGAAAAGTGAATTATTCGTATTGACTCAGCCCTACAGGTATACAATGTAATGACATTATGTCCTGTAGATCTATATACACATGTATCTTAAATCCTGGGGCCAATTTCATAGAGCTGCTTAAGCACAAAATTTGCTTAAGCGGGAAAAAACTTTGCTTAATAAACAAAAGTTACCAGCTCAAACTCGATCTGATTGTCATGCTAACCAAAAAACAGCTAAATATGATCCCCAAACACTATACATCACACAGAATTTTGGCTAGTTACTGTACCTGATTATCAAGTAAGGTTTTTTTCGTGCAAATTTTGTGCTTAAGCAGCCCTATGAAATTGGCCCCTGCTTGAAAGAAAAAAAGAAAAAAGCCTTCTGTGCTTGCAGAGTCAGCTGCTGAAGTCATTGAAACAGTACCACAATACTAAACTGTAGCCCTGCTCTAATTCAAGTTAAAATTACAATTCCTCAATTGAAAGGAAATAACCAATTTACCACCTTAAAAAAACCACCTCCCCCCCAAAAAGTTCTCCAAATACAGTTGTACATATATTCACAAACACACACAACCTATTTAATTCTTCAAAAAGGTTAATAAAATTCCAATTCATTATACAATGCTCCACTTGTTCATCCTTTTGCACTTGACCACGGTGCACTTTGTAACTTTTTACAAAAGCCAACCCACTGTGAATGAAAAACTATGATAATACATGTGTATATGCCTGCGCTTGTCGACCTGCCATACTCTGACAAGTGTACAGCAGTGTACAACCAGTGCAACCCGAAAGATAAGACCAGCCCAGTGAGGGCAAAGGCTGACGCAATTACCCCTGGGGTATGTGAAGAAAACAAACTGAAATAAATCGGTCAACACAAAACCCTAACACAATATAGAGTCAATGTTTACCATGTTCTCCATGGGTCAGGGAAAAAAAAAAAAGAGAGGGGCGTGCCTGTAAAGGGATACAGAAGAAGCAAGATGTTGCAGATGAGGTCAAACAAACAGACTGCACTTCATGTGGAGAAA